AGATAAATCGCGAGTGAGTGTATAAACAAGTGATTGACTACGCTGGAGTGCCGCATTTTGAAATTGGAATTAAAGCCCGGTTGGATTGTCTGGAAAAGATGATTTACTCCAAAATTGGCACTCCTAATTACTCCACCAATTAATCGATTTTTCCGATAATTGTTAGCTAGGGCTCTAGTTGTTGACAACCGCTACAGTGCTAGCTAACTATTATTGAAAAAAAGCGATTAATTTCCGGAGTAACTAGCAGTCCGAATTTGGGAATAAATTATCCTTTATTTTCCAGATAATCCATCCGGGCCTTAAATTTACGTCGTATTTTATATCTTCGCCCAAAACAGTAAGTACGAATTAAATTATTATTGAAGTAAATCAAGTAAACATCACTGACAAATTTGTGAAGATATTTTTAATAACTGTTAATTCGTTGAAACACAAATAATCAGCAGTTGGAGGCTTTGAAATCAGCTCGTCAAAAATTCCACTCAGTGGAATCTGAGGGATCGAAGAGCTCAGAGTTATTAAAAAGGAAGCTGGAAAGATTGAAGGAGAAGGTACAGGGAGTCATCGACGAGGCAGGAAAAACGGAGCTGAGATGAGTCTAAACAAAAAGGTTCATTCAAAAATACTTTCATATATCCAGGTATATCCAGGTAAATGCACCATAGCCTAATACTCATAGTATTTACCGATTAAATACAATTTTAAAAGCCAATGTTTTGTGTGTCTTTTCAGCGTGTGGTAAGAAAGTGCGCTTTTTGAAAACTACTATGAATTTATTTCTGTATGCAGGTCATGTAAAAGTTATATCATTCCATAATATTCCTGATGAAACATTTTTATATTTCAGTTTTTACTTATGAGGAGGGCTGAAGGTATTTATAACTCAAATAAAAGTTCAATATAAACCCATAAATATATGTTTATTGTGTTCGATCAGATTGATTCAATTCGTAATTTATCATTTATCAGTGTGCGTGACGTAAAAAAAATAATAATAATACAAAAAGGTATGCGAATAACTATGAAAATTCGATCGAATGAGAATAAATCATTCGTTATCAGAACCACCGTCGTCCGAATTAGTTCTGCCTCGAATTGTTTTTGATTTCTTGTTTCCAAAGAGTAGATTAGACGGCTTCTTTCCCTTTTCTGGTGGATTCAACAGGTCACCAGTGTATGATATTGCACCAGACTGGGCTATTCTCCACTGCATCATCTCTGTGGAAAAATCGTCGCAATTTCCGAGGTCCGTGAAGCCTACGATGTAGTCTTTTGCATTTAATTTACAAAACCTCGCCTTCACATGTTTTTTAACAAGAATTTGTAGGTGATGATCTGCAATTTTACATCTTGGACATCCATCCTTGTAAAATAAACAGACTTTCAGAGTACTCTCCGTGTCCCTGTTTCTGCTGATGTACTTTCTTCATCTCCTGTGACTTCTTCTCCCTCAGCTTTTCAATATCATCAATAGGTTCTCCAGAGCTTCAAGCTCTTCATCTAATTGACGCTCCACCTGTTTCGCCACCTCCAACATTTTATGCTGGATAACCCCCTGTTGACGATTTCGGTTTCCTCTTAAGCTCTCGCATTTTGTCTACCTTCACCTTTCGTAAATGCATTATCTTTCTTCGGGTCAAGAATTGATCCAGGAATTCATCGACTTCTGTATCTCCCGATAAGAATTTCTCAGCTATTTTCTGAACACGAAGGAGAATACAAATAAAAATCACAATTATCATTTGATAATTGTTTATATAATTGCTTAAATAATTACTTCCGATTCTTCTTCAATTTTCGCAGGAGCAGCTTGCAACAGCTCGAGGGCTGACTCAACTGACTTCAACTTCGGCACTGGTCTATTTAAAAAATGATAATTGAAAATTGCAGGAAAAAATGTAAAATATATGTTAAAAAATCAGAAAATAAAGGAATAATAATTCATTATTATATATTATTAATAAATGTCATGATTCTTTTTTAATTCCAGGTTTTTAAATCATAACAATTTCCCATTCATTGACTTAGTGGATTAGGCCTATAGGGGATACCACTTTAAAAAAAACGCGTCAAGGACTCTACCCCTTGGGTGACGTGGAAAGAGTTTCACTTTAATTATTTGATTTAAGAAAAAATAGTCAATACTGGCTAAGAATCTCCTATTGAAATAATCATATACCCATTGTTCATTTATGCTTTTGTAGACAATTTTTATGCCATACCTTTTTTTTTCATGTCAATTTGAAAGAAAAAAAATCAAACGACTCGACTGGCATTCAAATGTAAACGCCAGAAATCGCTGAATTGTGGGGACGAAACGCACATGAGGTACTTGTCCGCTGTTTTGGTGTCGGCGACATCAAAGCTTGGCAATACCTCCCTGCATCATACCTTAACACCCCACCATTGCGTGTGGCCCCCTCTCGCCCTTGGGGTAAGGTACTATGATGCCGGTGGGGTCACTCATACACCCGGAACAGAGCCTCTACTTTAGTCAATCCTCTCTGACAGACGGCGTGTCGTGAAATTAAAGAATACACAGAGTCTTATGAGTCGAGCGGAAATAAACTCAAATAATTCGATCACATAGACCTTTATTTTGTAATAATTTGTACCTGTTGAGAGTCAAGCTCTAGCGTTAAATATTTTACCCATTTAATTAATTCATAATATTTATAAATATCTCTCAATATGTCAGAGAAGTTCGATGGGTGAGTACGAAGACTTTTATATTTTATTTCGTGCTCCAGCTACTGAAACGAAAATGTCAAGGGAAGATTGTTAAGAGAATTTTTATTTGTATGGAATTATTGGAGGATTTGTCTAGTTGTATGGATTATTTAGTTAATTTTTTTTTTGTCTCAAGTCGCTACTCATTTTTAGACGTGTCGATTTTATGGGTTATTCAAGGGGACACATGGTCCACTCTATATCGTTGATAAAAAATGCAAGATAAAAATGAGAGATTTGTTGATAGCTGATGATGGTTTATTACAGACCCAAGGGTAGTGATGAAAGTGGAGACGAGGAGCCGGCACTCAAGTTGAGATTGGTGAGAATTATATAAAAATCCTTTGAATGATAAAGTTCTCATTTTCATATTTGATCAATTTAGTAATTAATATCTGGCTGAGATTGTTTTTCAAATAGTCAAAACGGAGAAAAACGAATGGTTTCTTGAAACATTTTAATTAATTAGTTGTTAATGAACAGGTTGAGGATTTAATGTGATCATGACGTGTCACTTGTTACCGAGATAATGAACATATGATTTAAATGACATTGAAAGTTGTTATTGGCATTCTCTTTGTTTTGTTCTAGCCACCAATAGAAATAAACCCAAACGATAATCAATTACAGTACAGTTATGGGCTGTGGTACAGTAAAAGATCAGTAGGTAAACTGAGTGATAGGCGTTATGCCGAAAATTTAAAGTTAATCGGTAGGTTTGGAAGTGTTGAGCAATTCTGGGGAATCTACAGTCATCTGGTGAGACCCTCGGACCTTCATCCTTCGTCTGACTTTCATTTATTTAAAAATGGAATCAAACCCATGTGGGAGGTGTGTCTGAAATACCATAATATTTTGAAAAATCCATAAACGAACACTCGATTGGATAAAATTTATTTTCTGTCAGGATTTAGCGAACAGACAGGGTGGAAAATGGGCAGTGAAACTGAGAAAAGGACTGGTGGATCGTTGTTGGGAGAATCTGGTGCTTGCAATGTTAGGGGAACAATTTATGGTGGGTGAGGAAATTTGTGGAGCTGTTGTATCTATTAGATTCCAGGTAATTTCTAATTAAAAAAAAACTCCAGGAATATTTTCATTTAGAGAAATGAATAAATCTGCAATTTTTACGATCAGGAGGACAAAATATGTGTATGGAATAAAACATCATCGGACGTTGCGACGACAGCTAGAATCAGAGACACCCTCCGACGTGTTTTACATTTACCTGCTGACGTTCTGATGGATTACAAACCCCACACTGAACGCCTCAAGTACGGCATCATCAAGAGCCAGAGTGAGGGGGTAGTAAAACCGACTTACTGATAATAAAGCGATTTTACTCGACCAATCCAGCATTTCGAGAGAAAATAACGATTACTCGTCGATTAACCATCGCAGGAACATTGAAATCAACTGAAAAGTATTGTTATTGATTTGTAAAGCCATTATAAATTGTCATAAAAATTGCTGAGACATTTCAAATCATTCTCCATCCTCAATCTATCCGGGGAGTACATTTCGAAGGCTCATGAGATTATAAAAGTATTTTTTTCAGGACAATAATATCAAGGGTAGAAGGTACGCGAATAAATCTCCTCGTTCATCCCTTCAATAAAAAAATATCTGTATTAAATGTCAATTGATTAATCGCCTGGAAATAACGACGTGAATCGTGTAAGCAGTCTGGACTCGAGAGAGGACTAGTATGAAGTACATAAAAAGACGTTATTTGGATAGTACGAAGAGAAATTCAACTTCAGCCTTGGGGATCTCTTCTCGGCATGATTATTCTTTTGAATTGCGATTCTCTTACTTGTGCGTTTTTCACGATAGTAAGGACCCAATCGTGGAGCTTATTAATTAATACAACCTCTCATCACAACCTCAAGACTATAATCGTTACCATCCCTGAAACGATCATTAGAATCAGTTTGAATTTTTAATCGCTCGTTAATTTGAGAGGCGAGTGTTTATACTTTTACCTAATACGAAAGAGAAAATGAGCTTGAAGTTCACAGATAGGGTAAGATACTCAGGCAATAGCTGACTTCTGTCACCCTCTGTGGGTAGGAGTAATCCAATTATACAAATTATACCAGCAATAAGGGCTACGAAATTTGTTTCTCCTGGAAAGAACAGAATAATTATTGTCATCTGACAAATCGTCAGTTCTAATTAAAAAAAATTCTTTTACTGTCAATTCCTCTAGATTGCGGGGACAGAGTGTATGACCTCTGCTGCCTGTCTCCCGTGTCTGGGATTTGCTGGAACGAATCGAGATCAGGTGTTCCTCGACCGGCTGTTTCACTAGTGCCTGTCAATAATCTCGCCTCAATATCTCTCTTCCCTATCACCTGAAAATAAAAAAATCTTTGCAGGATTCGATCATAAATTTTTCAGATTTATTGATACCTGTTTGGTCGGGTGCTCTTGCATCTGGATCCTGAATTTATCAACTACATTGTAGTTTACTGGGAGCAGAGATGTGTGTCTTATCACAATATCTATGCAATTTTTTGGTTTTATCGTTCCCTCTGGGTCACCCACTTTATATTTATTGGGAGCAGTACTCAGTACTAAAACAAAATTGCTGGTAATATTTAACTCCTTCGCAGAAGATTTTCATGTCAAGAATTAAATTAATTGTTGAGAGAAAAAAAAATCCTTCCATATGTTATTAAAAAATTACCTTTGAATTTTACAGGAAACTCATACGGATTGTACAACGTCAGGACTCGTTTATGTGTTGATTGATCGTCTGAATAAAATGTTATGTTAGGTGGAAAAACAAATACTGGGAGTTTCTGGGGTGTGCGTTGATGAGGCATGTCCATCAGCTAATTATCCCTTCTCTCATTCAATCATTCAAACCTGAAATCCAAATTTCTCTCACTCGTCATTCAATTTCATTTGCCATTCCCAATGTCATCTCGTTTTAATTACACCACGAGAGTTTCCTCTTAATCTTTTTCCACATCAATAAAATCCAATGAATTGGAATTTTCACCTGTTTGTCAATTATCTGACTCCAAAATTCATTGAGTCAGAAATTATCACAAGTTGTTAGAGAACGAATCACTTGATTACGAAATGAACACAATTTTCAGAGCAACTCCTGGATTACAATTACTGGTGGTCTTTGTTCGTTGTTTTTAAGTTATAGCTGCAGTATAATTAAAATGAAACACAACAGAAGATCTGGATGATCTGGACGAACGACAGTGACGTCATGACAACCCCCACGATTTTTTTTTTTAAATTGTCATTATTGCTCACTGGTGTCGTGACAGTCGTCATTTGTTGTGTACGCTGACTTGAATTTTTGTGCTGATTTGTGCTCCAGTTTTTTTCTACTGGAAATAATTTTTTTTTGGAAAAATGACAGACACGAAGGGGGACAAAACGAAGGTCGACCTGGGTCTTCTCGAGGAGGACGACGAGTTCGAGGAATTTCCAGCTGAAGGTGATGGTTTTCAAGTTTTCAATTATTGACGACTTAACCTCTAATTTGCTGATTCATATGGTGCACTTGCGATGATTTTTGCTTCCGAATGGAAGGTTTGTATTTGATAGATTTTTTTTTGATAGATTGGACAGCCAAAGATGAGGATAATGAGGACATCAGTGTCTGGGAGGATAATTGGGATGATGATGATGTAGAGGATGATTTCAATCAGCAATTGAGGTGAATAAATCGAAAGACTAAGAAGTTTTTTAAATTTATCTGTCGAGGTTGTGATTAAAAGATATTCTGGGTTGAAAAAATTCTTGAACTTTGATATTATTTTCAGGGCACAACTCGAAAAACAGAAAGGTCAAGCGGATCAAAACTCCAAGGAATGAATTGAAAAATTTCTATCTATAAATAACAATTAATTAAGATTAAGGAAATTAATTTAGATATTAAAACAATTTCTCACTTGGTTTTGAATCTATTGTATTTTTCATTAGTATACATCATGTCAAAGTCAATGAACATTTTGCAATAACAAAATCTGGAATGATTTCGATAGCTCTTCATCACAAAATCCATCCTTCGTACTATTTTTCTATTCCAACACATTCGAAATTGTCTGAAGAAATATAATTTTTCAGTGATATGGATTATCAATACATTTTTAACAATTATCATCAATATTCTACTCGTTATTTCTGCCCATCGAAAAATATAATTCTCCGAATAAAAATATTAAATACCAGAAAATCAAATAAATCTTATTCTCAAAAAAATAGACAGTAAAACGAACAGTAAAAATATTCCACCCATCGAATAAAAAAATTGTTAAACATGAAATAAACTCTTCCATATTAAATAATCTTCCAGTGCAATACAAAAATTGTTCGTCAACGAAAATCCTTAACAATAATTTATATACAAAATCAGGTACTCACCCCTCCCGCCGTAGTCGGTTTATCCCTGCAAGCGGCGAAAAGTTCAGAGGCTGCAACATCGAGAACCTGAAGAGCAACATCACAATTAACTCTTCGAGATCCAAAGGACCTGACGAAGAAAGCAATCATGTTAGTGAGCTCGTCCTCTCCAAAGACGGTCTTAAGATCGCCATAGGCTTTTCCCACGAGCCCCTGCACCACCCTCTCCTCCAGGTCTCCACCCCCGTCCTCCCCCTCGTCATCATCGATTTCCAATTTGAAAACCTCAGAGATGCCTCCCAGGCAGTCTTGAATTACACCCTCAATGCAGCTGCCAAAGAACAATTTAATCCACCTGACGACAGCCTCTTGCCTGATAGTACTGGAGCTCTTAATCCCCGCGAGAATTTCACAGAGAATATCCAAGAGGGAGCAGGTAATCATGAGCTTCGAATCGATCTCGTCGAGTTCCTCGTCGTAGGGGGATTGTGCTGTCTCCCACCAGTGGGCCAGGAGCTCAGAATCTCCACTGCCTTCGATGGTGTCGACTGCTTCGTACGCAGTATCAACGGTGCAGTAATCGATTCTCTCGGCGACGAGTTGCTTCAATTCGTCGGCGAGATTCTTCGTCTTTATGTCCTCCACGAATCTCCAGGGGATATCAGCGAGGGGCATCAATGTTGGCAAAGCTACCTCTTCCTCCTCCATTTCGAATCCAGGAACGACTGTCCTGAGAGTATTAAAAACTCCAGTGACTGTTTTAGCGAGGAATCTATCCAGCCGAGGGGCGACGGCATCAGCTTTTTTCCCTCCACCACTGCTGGGTCTCAAGAAGTGTCTCAACTGTGCAGAATCCCCGAGCCTCGCACACAGCATCCTGAGGTAATTCTCCATCTCAACTCTCCCCCCATCTGGCAATCTGATCTCCGAGACGACCTCAGCATACTCAGGCACCTCCTCCAGAGTCCCATGAAGCTGGACAAAATCCGAATATTGCCTTCTGGTGGTGGCAGTGGTGGTCTCGAAGAGGTCCTCGCCATGCTGCTCGATATCATCGAATTGTATGCAATACAGGAGCTGCTGTGATCCATCAGGCGCGGTGCAAAACTCCGTCCAGGGGATGGCCAAGTTAGTAAATTGATTTCCTTCGTAAAAAACGTGGGACTTTTCCTCAGGTTGAGGTGTAGTTGCTGAGGACTTCTGTTGAAGTAGACTCCTGAGTCTAGCAATTGTCGTGGCAAAGTCCGTGGGCTCTTCGTAAATAGGAGAGATACCATCATCTTCAGGATCCTCAATTTCCTCAGCCCAGAGGCCCTTGGGAGAGGATAACCCCTCCAGCGACAATTCCCCACGTTCGGAAGCTGAGTAAACTGCCCCCTCTGGCTCTGTGATCTCGAACGTCGGGGGAGCTTCCTCGAAGGCCCTGGGGATTACTGGAGCTGTCACTGAAGTGATCCCCACCGTCAGGGCTTTCGAGACCAATCCATTCCTCTTCTCCGAGGCCCTGGAACATCCTGTGGACTTCAGTAATTTCAAGACGTGTGTGAGCAGACACTGAGGATCACTGAACTCAGATACCGTCTTCAGGAGGCGTTTGGCGAGGACTGAAATCAGGAGTTTGCAGGGGAGAGAACTGGTTAGCTCCCACTGGAGGAATTCCCGGGCAATGAGTGTTACCATTCGGTGGAGGGTGTGTTCCAGAGCCACTGATGACCTCGAGCCAGGATGGGAGCACCTGTAGGCGTCCTCCAGGTCCTTCGAGCCCTTCTCAATTCTCTTCAAGGATCTTCTGTATTCTTTCAAATGCAGCAAAAGAACGTCCATCAGTTTGTGGGTGATACGGATCTCGTTGACTCGAGACAATTTTCTGGAAATCATCCTGAAGAGCTGCTTCAGCAGGTGCTTGGACTCGTTCCTGAAGGTTTTCTCTGATGTTATACTGTCGTACCAGGTCGATATGTATTTGTCATCGATATCGGACACCAGTTTTACTATTGTTGAATCGTGAATTTTGTGGGACCTCGAGGGAGAGGTGGTTAAAGGGGTTGAGGAGTTGGCGGGAATTTTTAGTCGGGATTTCAGCCATTTGGTCAGGGGCTCGATGTTCAAGGGGCTGGTGGCTTTCAGAGTGTATTTCAGAATTATACAGCTCAGCCAGGTCGAGACCGTAATCAGGATCAGGGACCAGATCAGGGGGATGTAGATCGGGAGATTTGTGAGGGAAAACCATTGCTCCAGGAGCAGACATAGACCAGCTGTCGAGATGCTGAGAATCAGCAGGAGTTTATTCACCCAATTTATTGGAACTATCTTCTCCATTTTAGGAGATGGATTATGGGATTATCTTTTGGTGTTCGGGGGGTGAGTTTTGTCGATGAAGTCACATCTGAAAGGTTCAATTAAAAATTGAAATTGTAGAGATAATTCATTGGAATGATTTTCACTGAATTTATCCATTGTAGAAATAAATTGAAGTGAATACTAAATGAATTGTCGGAGAAATTCGAAAATTAAGGGATGCATCAACCCTTAATTACAAATTGAATTACAATAATCACGAGGACAGTGTTTTCAACAGAAAAATTACCGAATTATTTATTATTTAGTGTTGGTATTCACTATTCTCTTTTGAATTACCTTAACATGCAGCGGATGCGATGAGCAATTGAACCAGTTTAATCACTTTATGTACTCATTTTTTGGCATTATGGGGGTCTTATCACACGTCAAACACTAATATCGATTGCATTTACATTTGTGACAACAACAGGTGATTATGCGCATCGTCACTACATTTTACATTAAAAAAATGACAGTGACAAAATGATACATTTAATTTAAGAGTATTCCGATGACACTCGATGATTTTTAAGTACTCGTCACTTACAAGTGTTCAATAATAATTTATTGTTGCAGAATTGTTTTGCCAAATTGATTAATTCACCGGGACAATAAACTCTTCAGTTGTGTAAAATTATTATCATTGTTGTTGGCTCATTCGTCGATTATTGCCGAAAAGTATCGATACATCGAGGAGAAAATATCGAAAATCATGAAGACAGTATCGATATTTTGTCAGGCAACACTGGGTCGGACCTCGTGAACTCCACGACGTGACAGGTCCAGGTTTCAGAGTTTCAGGGATGGCCTTCAGGATATTGAGAGCCTGTGGAGCTCTGGCTGGACCTAGGGTATCCTTCAACATCTCGAGAACCGGTAAAATTATTCTCAACTCATGTCATTCAGGATGTTTAAAAAATATTTACAAGTCCAGGGGCTTCTTCTAACCTCAAAATGAATTACTGTTTTTCCCCTCATCAGGATTGCAAAATATTCCCCCTGGGAGTCAGTGCACCCTGCAGACGATTAATGAGGGTACTCCAGTGAAGAATTTTGTGAGGAACGTGTCGTTCTTCAATGAATGTGAGAAAACTTATTTTATTTAACGTGCCGATGAAAAATTGTTGACCCGGCTTATAACCTCTCCATCACAAATCAAATTGTTTATTTAATTTTTTTATAGAAAAACAGGTGAATTTCGATATGCAATAAAAACAATTCGGTGAATTACTTATTTATTCAAAATAAATTCAATCATCTCTTTATTCATTTAAAATGAATCGTTTTACAAATCATTACAGAGATTAATTCACAATATAATTAACTTGAGATAGTCCTTATTATTATATCCTATATTATTAAGATCCTGCCGATCGTCTCTGGAAGTCAGCGACCCACGTCAGCAATGCAGGAAGAAAGAGAGGACGAGCTAAATCGAGAAGAATCATAAAAAATTTGAATAAAGGACAAGTAATTGGCGTTGGTAAGAAGAACATGCTGTTTCCTGGATTGAACTCTCCAGTTCTGAGGGGACGTGAGCTGGTGTATCACCAGAAGCTCCCAGACAACCCTGACTACGAGAAGGCACTATTCACCGCCAGAGATGCCATGGTGAAGAGGAGAAGAATTAAATTAACGCCATTGGAGAGAGGTTGGACAGGGGCTAAAGCTGGTGGAAGGAGTATTGGACCCCCTGATCCTGTTGGCGAAGAGACCTTCGAAGGTTTCGATACAAGAATTCTCGAATACAAAATGGTATCGGTTATGACTGGAAATCTGGGACGAAAGAGGAGAGTGAGTACAATGGTGATAACTGGAAATGGAAATGGTCTCGCTGGATTTTCCCTGGGGAAGGCATCAGAGGGTCGAGCTGCGTTGAGAATGGCGAAAAATCGTGCTGTTATGAAGCTGATGTACATTAATCGGTATAAAGAGCACACTGTGCATCATGATTTCTTTACGCAATTCGGAAAGACGAAGATCTTCGTCACGAAGAAGGCAGAGGGGTACGGGTTGGTATGCCACAGGGCAATCAAGACTTGCTGTGAAATTATTGGGATTAAGGACTTGTATGCGAAGGTCGAAGGATCTCGTTGTCTTCAGCATATCATTAAGGCGTTTTTCATTGGATTGTTACAACAGGTAAACTACGAAATTATTCACCGGAAGTGAGTGAAAATGAGCTTTCTAATTATTTATAATTCAAATAAATGTCAAATATATTTCAGAAAACGCACGAACAATTAGCTGAAGAAAAACAGCTTCATCTCGTCGAGTTGAAGGCTGAGAATGGAAATTATCCGGTTGTTGTGGCTTCGCCGTCGATTGTGAGAAAACCCGAGGAAATTCCATCGACGGAAGTTATGGATTTCACTCAATACGTAATGGGTGGCAAAGTTGTTTACAAAAAGAAGAAATATCCACCATTTTACACTCGCCTGGCCTCGTGGACCGTCAGACTACGAAAAACTGCGTATTTGAGGAATAAAGATGAGGTGAGGACTCGATTATATGCAGAACATGGGGAACTCCGGAGTTTTATGACCGACAAGTATCCGGAGGCTAAACCGCAGCTGTGGAGTAAGGCGAAAAATAAAGCCCCAGAGTAAATCAAGTTTAAATTCTTCAAGTTTAATAATCATGTATATAATTAAGTACTGAATAAAAATAGAAAGAACAGTTTCAATAACTCATTTCAGTTGTCATATTTTCATATTTCCCCAAAATTCTGAATTTTAAATTACAAGAAATTCCGAAATTTCATTAGAACTGCAAGAAAATAAAAATTTTCGAAATTCGTCATATAAAAATCAGATAAAAATAAATAAAAAATTCGGGGTGCCTTTTATTGGGCGTTAACCGGAAACAATACATTACTTTCAATAATTGCATCATACAAAGTGCACTAAAATCGGCGCAATTTTTGAAAAAAAAAAAAATTCTCGTCGACAAGCTGCATAGTTCAGACTAAACCACTGACGTTCTCCTCAAATATGGCGTATCCGAGAACGCCATGTTTCTTGTGATGTTGGTGAATTAGTGAAATAAAGACGTTATAAAATACTAAAATAACCCATAACAAATCAATTAACACATTTAGACTACATCATTTTTTTTAATTTCGAGTAATTATTTATTCGTATCGACTACACAAAAATGGCTGATGATGATCCGTGGTTATTAAAAGAAGACGGTTATTTAAACGTTGATACAGAGTGTAAAAGCATTGTGTATCATCCGAATTTAAACGTATTGCTTATCACAACTGTCGATACCGAGGTTTACGTATTTGATGTCAACTTTGGTGGTATACTTCAACGGAGTTTTTTGTCGGGTGAGACATATATTCCATCATAATTAACCTTACACCATTCGTCATTATAATTATTAATTTGCCACTAAATCATCGTCATTCCATTGTAATCCTGGCACTGTCAAGGTCGCAGTCATCTCGATTGCACTGACAGTCATGAGAGATCGATCAATTCCTCGGAGTCAATCGAGAATAGATCAATCCCCCCATTGAATAACCAATGACCGATTGCTCGATGATTCCCACTCGATTCCCAGTTGGTTAAAAAATCATCTTCGTCTTGATCATGGGGTGGGACCACTGATTCAGATCCTCATCTGTTTCCTTCTTCTCTGCTCTAACGATTCATTTGTTTCTCGTCAATCATTTCCATTTCTTTTTATCTCATTATTATCTTTGAGCGAATTCTTAAACTTTCAATGGAAGAATTAAACTTTTTCATGTCATTGAGATCATCTCGGGATTTTAGGAGAGACTTTGCCTAATGATGCTGCCACTCTTACTGAAAAATGTGATAATGCCATACGCAAGAATTACACGTCATTAACCCACTGACGGGTTTTGTTTTTTTTTTTTTCCAAGCACTTGAACGCATTCTTGGAACACTTTGAAGACTGTTGTTTCGTGTTACAAGTTTATCTCCGTGATAATAAACACTAGAAAGGAAAGTCCCCTCCCAACGACAATCGAGTAACAGATAAAAACTATTACGATGCTGACTAAAGTTTATGAAACAGGTAGAGCTAATGGAAAACTTCAAGGAGTGTATCTTGCCGAGGGCGTAGACAAAGTACTCTACACAGATGGCCGAGGAATTGGCGTGAGAAGTGACTACAATGGTGTACTCTTACTAGACACAATACTACAAACTCCAGTATTGAAGAGTGAAGCTGTGATAAAAATCGAGCTTCTCTTATCCGAGGCCATTCTCCTCCACCAGTGTTTGAGGTGTATTGATCTTCCTGGTGTTGATAATGTCCAGGACGTCCTCCACGAGTTGTGGACTAAAATTCTTGCAGCACAGGCGACACAGAAGAAAGGGATCAAAGCACAAAAATGGAATACAATATGTTTGGTACTGCCCCACGGTGTATTGAAGCTAGTGTGCTCAGGTCTTGTTATGGAATTAAAGAGACAGAATAAACACATACCAGCGTTACCAATAGCCTCTGCCATAAATGAACGACTGAACGGTCTACTTCCTGGCCTTATATTGGACAGTGGACCAGCTGACAAGGCCCTCATGTTCAGTGAAGCAGCGAGACGTGAGACATTCTCAAAATGGCCACACATGAATTACAAGTAAGTTGAATTTATTCCAACGATTTATCATTTCCTGAGACACTGGTTTAACTGATATGGAAATTATCTAGTGAGTCTAAATCGAGAAATAATGTTCTCAGATGGGCATTACCTGGACATATGGCACAGGCTGGCTTTTATCATGAGCCTAACATAACAGCTGAGGACAGGGCAATGTGTTTTACTTGCAACGTGTGTCTTGTTTGTTGGGAGCCAACCGATGAGCCCTGGTCTGAACATGAGAGACATTCACCAGCTTGTCCATTTGTCAAGGGTGAATATACCCAGAATGTACCACTGTCTGTCACGTTAGCCACTGCCCCAGCGCGTCAATCTACTGATGATGTTGAAGTTATTGGTACTACGAATGTTGCTGGTTTAGCCGCTACTGCATCGCACAATGGACTCGTCAATGTGTGGAATATTACGAGTCAACTCAAGGTGATTAATTCATGACATTCATTTGGAAAATATTCAATTATGCGGTTTTTCTATTTAAAAGGCTTTTCATACTCGATAGCTTTGAAATTAAATAATTTTTATGAAAAATTTCAGGAGGAAGTGACGTTTTACGTGTCAGTCTGCAATCAAGAACCGAACAACAAGTCTCCAATTCAATTTTACGGTGCAAGAAATCCATCGAGCCCCTACCTATCAACCCTCCCCACAGACCCAGATCCCTTGAGTGACTTCAAGCCACCTCCAAGCTCCCACAAGCTCAGTCTGACATCTCTCTCCCTCCTGGGAGGTCCCAAGCCCTCCCTGGACGACACAAAATCCAGCACAAGCACCAGCAGTACCTCCTCCAATCCTCTCCTCCTGGACATCCCCGACACGAGCATAAGGCCCTGCCTGGTAAGTGGTGTCACAGTGAATTCTTTCAGTAGCAGTAGCCAACTTAGGACACTGGAGAACGTGTGGGCCTCAACTGATCTGGCCCCATCTGCCTCTCTCGTTCGGGCTATGAACAGTGTTAACAGTGCTGCGAGTGATAGTTTAGACATAATGAAAGTAGCTGCTGACAAATACACAACCCTGAAACATCATTATCTCGTCGTCTACGATTTTCATCACAAAGCAGCGCCCCAGAGTAGTAAAGACGATCCCCCCAAGCCAGGTAAAACCAAGAAGACATTATCAGGGACTGGCACCAGTGCAAGTTCAACTGGTGGTCGCCAGGAGAATATTTACCAGGAGATATACATGTCGAAGTTGCTGTACGAAGCACCAGTGATCGAGGACGTGGACTCGGAGATGGTAGTGGGGACTCACTTCGATGGAATGTTTACTGCAACGGGTTTAACTGCCTCCTCATCGAATACCCTGTATGCCCCATCCTTTGGCTACAGTGCAGCCCCTCCCTCAACGAGTCCTTACGACGCCAATTTCAATCCCATAAATGGCACAGAACAATTTGCCTCGACCTCGGAGCTCGTCTCAATCACCAAAAAGTCAGAGATGTCTAAACCGATAAAGGAGGATCCAGTCGTTCTCCAGACAATCTCTATTGACGCCCCCTCCTCTCTGAGAATAACTTACATAGGCCCCACCAAAGATAGAAGACATCTCATTGTCACTCTGTCTCCACCTCCCACATCCCGGACAGAGCCAACACCACCGATGACAAATCAAATGGATATCGACGAAGAGAGTGAATTCTTTTCACCAAAGAGCTACATGTACTGGGACCAAAATGACGGATCAACAAAACTCCTGAATGGGGAGAATCACAACGAGTCATCGACCCCAGAGAATTCTCTCCTTTTGATCTATGCCCTTGATTTCACCGATAAAGTACCAAAAATAATTCCAGATCCCCTGATTAAACGAGAGCTCTCTCCAGAGCAAACACCAGTAGAGTGGGTTCTTCTTCCACTCCAGGAGAAGCATCGAATAAATTCGATCTCCACCGAGCCCAAAGGACAGATAGCCCTAGTCTGCAAGGACGGAGTTGTTCGACTCCTGGAATTGAATACCTTGAAGATAGTGACCGAGGCTAGATCAGAGACTGAAAAATTCATCTCGGCAGCCTATTGTAACAGATTGGAGAGACTCTGCGCCTGCAGCAGCACTGGGTCCTTGAGGTTTTTTGCGACAACCGAGGAGGACGACTCTGGTGAGGAGAAAGAGGAGACAGAGGACATTAATATGATGGTGACAGATACTGGGGCTGTCACCAATGACCAGATAACCCCCAGCACCTCAACATCATCTTCAGCTTATCAGGAGCCTATAATCGCCCACAGATCGAACTTGACTTATCCAGACCTCAAGGCCCTCTACGACTTGACTAAATTTGACAAGCATTTTCCAGCTTATAGTGCCACAGTTCCCTCATGTTGGAGTGAGATGATGCAAGCACAGCGACAGCGTCGATACCCACAGCATCTTCACCAGTCGGAGGACCAGCATCACACAAGAACCTGGAGACTCCAGAATGACGCTACAACCTGGGATGAACACGTGTTCGAGCTGACATTACCCAGAAATGTTGCTGAGGGGATTGGACAGGTGGACGTGAGGTTCTCCCTGCATTCACCTTGTCTCGAGCCCCCGACGATACAAGTGACACTTCTCAAGCAGAACATAACAGGTCTGGGGCACCACAAGTCCCCACTGACACCAGTCGACGAGCGAATACACTTCAACATCAGCAATGATCAGAAAGGGGAGAATCCAATAGTAAGTGAGGAATACCAACGTCAGCACAACACTGAAATTCTATGTGGTCCCATTAACCTGAAACGCTGTATGGATTTGTCCGATCACTCTGGCTGTGTCACCCTGACGAGCCCAAAATTATTCAGAGCTAAAGCGCGAACTCTACTGGTTCACATCAAAGCCCTCATCGATCCTGCCAAGGATCAATCTGGAAGTGGTGCCAGTGGATCAAAGAGCAGAATAAATCTGCTCGAGACAAAGCCACCAACATCGAAAAAATTGAGGATCGACGACGCCGGACCTTTCCTACCTGGTGCTGCAGTCGAAAGAATAGCAGCTAGTGCGAACAAGAAACTCGAGTACTACATCGGCTGCGACTGGATTCATGAGATTTCAATTACAGTCAGATCAGTCCAGCCAACGACCATGCCCATGGAGAGAATGCAACGCTGGGTCATGCTGGAGTCCACTCTGTTCACTGAGAATCTTCTGAACGTTGCTTGCCTCCAGGGAAGTGACAAATTTCTCGTGTGTCAGTCACTGGCACTTGATATCCTCGTGTGGGTGACTGCCATCAGACTGGCCAGGCTCAGAGTGGGACAGCATGCCGCTGAGGCCAAGGCCATGCAGTTAGACACCATCAGGTGCATTCAGGGGAGACTTCCAAGTCTTTTACGTACATGCATTTTCAATGCTGGCAGGAGTATTGCTCATAAGTGCGTTAAACTCATTGTCATCTGCAGTGAGGGCCTCAGGAACCTCGAGGATGTCACGGCTAACTCGTTCGACGAGGCAGTTCTCTCAGTAATTGTCTCGCTATTCCCGGGAGTCGTTGGCATCCAGTGGGCAGGATCTCTCAGGTGGCTCTCTGTTCTCATCACCAGACTATTGCCCCTGGACAAGAGTCACAGCGTTGCTCAACAGTGTATCAATATTCTTCAGCAGATATCTGGGGAAATGTCCAACAGGGTGAATCCCTATCACCTTTTACTGGCAACTAGATTTGGATTTTATAATAATCCATTTGAGACTGAGCTGTTTGACATGGAACCACCGATACCACCAAAATTCAGCTCAGCACCACTGACTTATGCATCGGTGGTCAATGGGGAACAGACAACTTCCTCGATAACCACTGCCACCACTCATTACACTCAGGACCATATCGATCTGCGGGATTTGCTCACTCTACCCACCAATCCCAACAGTGATCTGGTGGTTCCCAGTAAATTGAAGGCATTGTGCACTAATCACAGTATGAAGGGACTGCTGGAGGTTGAGCCACTACATTTTACCTGTCACGGAGCTTCTGATGGTACGAAGATGGAGAAAATTGATCCTGGGGTAAGTGCCATCAATTTGGGGAATTTATTCGAGAGCTCTGGAAATGGGGGAAGTGATTTGAAAAGTGTCCAATCGAATTTTGGAGAGGAAATGAATTTTCCCTGGGGAAGACTTCTCTGTTGGCCACCCCAGCAGGCTCTTGTAGTCGAGAGAATGCACTCTGGGGCGAGGAGATTCGTTACCCTGGATTTTGGCTCACCCATTCTACTGACAGACCTAATGATTCCATCGTGTAGCGATCTCGTGTCCCTCTCCATTGATATCTGGTCGAAGAGTGAGGAAGGAGATGGAACGAGACTCGTTGTGGCTGGAGATATTGGTACAAAACCTCTGGTGGTAAATGACCTACAGCCACCACCTGTCTGTAGATACCTGAAGATAACGACGATTGGTCGATATGGGATGACAACGACGAGGTGTAAGATCCCTCTGGGGATGTTCTATGGTCACATGGTGGTACTTCCTGGTGAGGATTATGCAGAGGTATCAGATCCAGGTCGTTCTGAGGTAAATGGACATCCTGATGTGAATCTTCTAGCAATGATTGACTCACAGTGCAGTATTCTGTCAGCTCTTGCTGAGGATGTGCAGTGTAGGTTTAGCCTTGCAACTGAAAGGCTAAAGACTCTTCTCGATCCTCTTCTTTGCACCGAGACCCCCAACGTCATGCACATGCAGCATTATTTGTGCAAGGGAAAGAATACAGCTGAGGGCAAGGAGCAGCCATCGTCCAAAATTTTGACTACTTACCAGGAGTGCATCATGTTCCAGCATCAGTTGAACGTCGTGAGAGGTGTTTGGAGGAGATTGGAGGCATGGAAAGGACCCAGTTCACCTCCAAACGTACAACTCGCTAATGTTCCTAGTGATAAATTACGAATTCTCGGGGAGACTTTGTCCGATATTCTACTCTACACGATGTACGAGATTGGTCCAGTGCCCCCAGTACCAACATCTCTATGTGAAATATTCACACCAACAATTTGCGAGAGATTTTTCCACTCTGTTTGTGTCGTAACACCAGCACCAAGACTCCAGCTCCATGCAGCAGCACTTCTGGCAAGAGTCGCTGGACATCAGCCATGGTGGGGGAACTTCCTGGCGAATACTCTGGTTAATCTATACTCAACATCCTCCACCTACATATTCCCACAGGACAGGGTTTTCATACTGCTGACATTCCTGGGACGAAAGTCACTGATGGCAGGGGCCAATAAATCATCGGTTGTCGACGCTATGGTACGCACACTGGGTCGACTCCTGGTGCCACTTTCAAACGGCCAATCCACAACTGTAAGACTCGATACAACTCTCATTGGATGGGTTCTTCTCTTTCTCTCTGTGTGTTTGGACACAACTGCCACTCAATCCATTTGCTCTGACGATAATAATGACAAGAACAAGGAGCACGGAGTATCATCTCGCTGGGAATTTCTCCAGGGTGAATCCGCTATGCACCGTAAATACGTGTCAGCGAGCAGATCATCTGCCTCACGAAATTACAGGAAGAAGATACAGAAGCGTCTGATGCATCATAAACAGCAGCTCCAGGACATTGAACAAGCGAAGAAGGGAACACAGTTACCCTCAACTCAGAGCTACACTTGGTCGACCATCAGTCAGATTCCAGCTGTTTTCTCCACCAAACTGGAAGTGCTGAAGTCCCACGAGAGAAATCTCAAGAAAACCCTGAAGCAACACTCGGCTTTCAAGCATTTCAAGGACATGATGAGGCGAAACGAGGCACTACACGTTTCAAGAGGCCCTCGAAGCCAGTCCTCTTCGAGTACACGATCAGAGCCTCCAGAGATTGACTTAGACTGTCTGACAAATCTCTCCCATCAGCATGTGCTTCCAGTGGCCCGTGGTCTAATCTCCCTGATACTCAACAATTCCTCAAACGTCGATATGTTCCTCCTAGCTTGCAAGGTTGTTGCTCGTCTGGTAGTGTCCACTCGTCCAGTGATTATCCTGGGCGAGCTGATGAACGAGGATCAGCTCATGAAACTAATTAAACTGGCAACAGGCAGCTCAGACACCGCCTGGTCATCTCACGCCATCAGCTGCCTCCTGCAGGACCTCCTCGAGGGTGGGAGACTCTTCCCCAAGCCCTCACCTTCCACAGACCCTCCATCAGAGGGAAATTTCGATGGTTTGGGAGGAGATGACTCTCAACCCCCTCAAGAGGACTTGGCTGGTGTTGCTGGCACTAGTGGGTCGACAACAGTCGTCAACGACGAGGGATTTGCCGATGGCGATGGCGACGAAGACACTCAAGACAGCATTGCAGCTCCTCCCATAGCCTCCACCTCAAAATCAAATGGTTTCGAGCTCTCTTCCTTCCTCGACTCCGATGACAGCGAACTCGAGGAGTTCCTCGACGATATTCTCGAGCGTGGAAAAAACATGCTGAGAAAGGGAAATGCTATAACAAAGCTGCCACCATCAGCGAGCTCTGGTATATCCTTGGCACTGGATGCAAGACTGGAGTACGGAGTTGAAATGGGAGTGGAGATCTCCCTCAGGAGATACTCCACCCTGGGGGCTTACAATCTACCTCTCAGCATAAACGCCACTATTCAAACCCCAATAGAGAGCAATCGCTCCCAGGCAGGTGGGACAAGAGCCTCCGGATGGACCGACAGAGGACAGGACATCAGAATGCCAGCAGAGCCCTCACCCTCAAGCCTCTCGATGCTCACTCGGTGCTTCGACAGAATATTTACTGATCTCTCCCTCCAGGACTCCAATACCAGTCTCGAACTCGTTCTCCAACTGTGGCTTACCCTCAATCTCGATGCAACAGTTGATTCAACCTCAACTCAATTTGACTCCTCATTAGTCCCAGTAATTCCTCTGAGCTCCACTGCAATATCCGGTTTGATAGCTGCATTACTCTGGAATCCAGTGTCCTTGAGGGCGTGGTGTCTAGCCCTGCAGACGCTTACACTCACCAGCAATGAGCCAATGCCCTCGGATCACGTGGACCCCAGCATCAGTACACCACTCGATGGACTCCTTGGAGGAATGGCGAGTTGTATTGTCAAGGACAGAAATATGGGGGCAATGTTGCTGAGGCTTTTATCAGGTAATGGCTTGAGCGTGGAGCCCAGGGACAAGCAGTACATGATGGCAGGGCCCAGGGTGTGTTTAGCCCTCCAGGATTTTCTCGTGAGATTGGAGATGAGGTGTGACGTAATTACACCAGGCAGTTCCCTGGGAAATGCCTTGAAGGAGCTTCTTCTCCGGGTCGTCTACCAGCTGGTGCAACCTGGGGGTGCCCTTGTGGCTAGAAGAGGTCCCCTCGATGCCCAGTGCATCCTCATCACCTCGTTGATCAATCTGAACTTCACGAATACCGATCTTGGTACAGCAATGAGTATAACTGAGTGCGTGGGAGTTCTGGTGTCGAGTTACGTCAGAGGTGCCAGAGTTGGGGTGCAGTGCAGCGGTGCAGTGGACATTCCAAATCAATCTGGGAGTTTTGGTGGGCTTTTTGCGTGTGTTCTAGGAGGTGGACCACGTCAGGGACGACCCACCAGCTGGGATACCCTCGTTGTGGCACTCATCAAGCTAGTCTGCAGACTCGTCCAGACACCCCTGCCCTCGAGACTCTCCAAGACCGACAGCTCCGCTGACATGGAAGTGGCTGAGACCTCGAGATCAGATATCAATCAAATCGGCTCACAGACGGACGAGAGTAAAGTCGCGGAGCAGACGTCAATGAGGATGAGCCAGGGTGCAATACCCAAACCAAAACATCCTTGCGTTACTGACACTGTACTCCAGCATGAGCCCACGATGATGAGGCTCCTGGGGGCCCTCGGTTCGAGTACTAGATCCTCATTAGCAATGTTATTTGGGGAAGAAGCTGCAACTGGAGCTGTCTCAGAGCTCGGAGATCCTGCCTCTATCCCAGACGCCACTTTCCAACTTCTGATGACTCTCATGAGAAAAGCCACCAGTCCCAACCTGGTGCTCAATCCTCTGTACCGATATTTGTCATCCACCCACGAACAAATGAGTAATGATCGACAATTGGGTGTTATGCAACTGTCAGAGCCCCTTCTATGGTACATTCTGAAAGTCCTAGATAACGAAGCATCATTATCAGCCTTCACCTTGATGGGAGGGGTTAAAGTCCTGTGTGAAAATATGGTCAAGTCCTCGACTGTTAATCAGACCAACACTGGGGCCTCTACTCCTGGTGTAATCGCCCTCGTCATGCAGCATCTCTCTAATGCTCCTAATCTGGCCGCTGCCACTGCAACCACGAGCAAAAAATCCTCAGGTACTCTGGAGACTTACGAGGATGGGATTCTGAATTTCGCTCCACTCGGGACAATTTCCTGGGTGAAGCCCATGGTGGAGCCTGCTGATGTACTCATACAGAGTGCAGCACCTCACAGAAGGGCAAGGACAGCAGCCTGGAGTTATCATTTCTTCCCGGGAGAGGCCTGGGTAGATTTGACTATCACTCTACCTTGTGCTATTTTACTCCGAGAAGTGGAACTCCAGCCTCACCTCACCTCCTTGGCGACCTGCCCCTCAGCAGTGGCATTAGAGATTTCTCGAGAAGGCAACACTGATTTGACACCAATCTGTCCCCCAATGCTGACAGCTGGATTAACATTCATCAGGTTGACATTGTCACAGCCTGAGGTTGCAACGTCAGTCCTCGTGAGGCTGTACAAACCCAGGGACTCCACAAATATAAGTCTCAGTCAGATTAGAATCCTCGGGACCACAGCATTCGGTGAGATAAAATCTAGGAACGAGACAATTGATGAAGAGCAATTCACGAGAACGAGTTTGGGATGGCTGAGGCTTGTCCATCAGTGTCTGTCTGTCAGCGCTTTATCCTCAAGTCTCTCCAAGGAAGTTCTCAACTCTGCAGCAGCTGTGGAGGGACTTGTTGAAGCCTGCTGCAGTCTCCTGCTCCTGCCAGCTCCATCCCTCTTCACACCAAACCTCGAGAGAGTTCTCCTCCAGCTTGGACTCCACTCCAAGGAACTCGGACTGAGATTAATCAGTTTATTATTGAACAACAGGTGTGCACCTCTGTTTGGTGTTACCACTCAGAAGGCATCAACAGTTCAGCTGGTGGTTGAATTGCTCCAGCAGTTGTGCTCCTCCCAGGATTCAGGAACAGAAGCGAGAATTACCGCAGTGCTGACGTGGCTTCATACATCTGCAATGAACAGTGTAGCTAGATCACACCAGAATAATCCAAATGTCGTGAGTCCACCGGCGATTTACGTGCACTGCATCTCGACGATCATCTGGAAGGCCCACGAGCTTAGAGATCGAATGTACAATCTAGAAGAGCTTCTCAGCGATGATCTCTTTAATTCTCTGTACCAGTGGACCCTCTCCCTGGAGACATATTCGGCCCTGAAACAGGCGATCGATGCCACCCTCTGTGCACTATGTCACGTCAGGCCATCGCTCTTTCCTCTTCTCCTCCAACGAGTGAGAATTCTCGTTCCCAATTTGGCGACCGATCACTCAGCCTCGATCTCGGATGACAGAAAAGAGAGCGAGGGACAGACTGACGACAGAAAGAGCGAGTCCGATGCTGAGGAGTGGTACTCCAGGCTGCAACTGCCTGAGTACAAGTGTCTACAGTTGACTGAGGGACAGCTGCTGACAGTTGCTGCTGCAGCCAGATCACCACCTGGTATTCAACAGCTCATTGACTCTGGATTACCTGCTCTTCTTGTCACCAGTATCAAGGATTTTTGCAAACACGAGAGTGGCGAGGAGTGCGGAGAGGGGAGTGCCTTGACTGACAGTGATAAAGCCAGTGAGGCTTTTGGCCAGAATAATGGGGGACTCAATATGATGGATCCTGACAGCGTGGCTACGGTCCTAGAATTTCTCACGCTCGTCTGCTCCGAGGGAAAGATGAGGGATTGGCTGGGTAGAGAGGGACGGGGATTCTGGCTGCCACTTGCTTCGTTACTCAGCAATAGACCGGTGGAAAATCCTTCTATTACTTTTGCTAGGTAAATATGAAGGATTGACAACTTAAGCTGCGGGAATTTTGATTTTATATTTGGGTGGGGAAAGTGTTGGCAAAAATGTCATCGCATTTTTCTTTCGGAAATCTTTAGAGAACATTTTATCTATTAATAAAAATAAAATTATGAATCGCTCCAAGGGATTCTAATTATTTATTCACAAGCAAAAAATATTTTTTACTATATACTAGGGCGATATTAAAGCGCACGTGGAATTTTATCAGCTTCAAAATGGTATGCCTTATATATTTCGCAAGTGAAAGAATAGAAGACGTAGATATCTGAAAGTGTCGGCTGACTCAGCGTGACACCGATTTTTTTTTAATAAGGGCATTGATTATTTTCAGGAGATTTTAAATTGTAAATTTGATTTCTGCAGAATGAACGTCTCGTACACCAGATTGGAATCAGCGATGATAAAATTCTTGTCTCGCTGTTGCTGGTGTCACCCTAATAATCAGAAATTATTGGCCGAGCTATTGACAGATGTAATTCTGCAGCAGAGAGTTTCATCAAGTGAGTAGATTACTGCATCAATCGAACTGATTCACCTAATGTTAATGAAGGATATCAATTTAATCAGTCGAGGACGATCAGCTGATTGCATCAATTAATCAAGTGTCAATTGATTCAGATGTACGATATCTTCACGGAATTTCGGGATTTACGCGGAGATTGATCCTCCAACTGTTGCTCGAGGGTGAGAAGGTGCTCGTTTCAGTGAGATCAGAGACATCGATGACAGTTACCACTGGTGGTGGCAATACTGTTCCCTCGATGCCACCCCATCCAGAACATCCACTTGGACATTATCATCAGTTACTCTACATTTCTACCCAGTCCACCGTGGCTGATATATTGCAACAGGTGTCCGGTGAGTTCAGATTGCCACTTTTAAATAATTTTATTCACTGAGTAGATAAATCAATCATTTTAAAAAATCGATCAATCATTTTAACAAGACCCTCTTCAATTATTTTGAACTTGAGGCCCAATCGTGAAGATGTAAAAATGTCTTTCTTTTTTTATAAAAAAATTTATTTTTTTTAATTATGAAATTCCTCCAAATAATGCAATTGGGCCTTAAAATTCTCAAAATATTTGTTATTTCACTGTATTACTCTCAATAGTTTAGTTATCTCTTCCTTCATAATATCACGAATCATCTCAACGAAATACATGAATTTCCCTCGAAACACGGAGACATACGTAAATGTTGAAAGATAAACGGATGAATAGGAGAATAGATAAAGAAAAATGACCCCCATGGTACAGGTGCTTGGCTCACTTTGCTCCTACCGAATACATATAAGGAGAGTGAGACTAATAAAAATGAAAGGAATCAGGAGTGGAAGGAAGTAGGATTGGCATTCATGGTAGACACCCTGAGCGTTGCTGCTGGAAATACTGCCAAGGATAAACGTGCCAAGGAGGCGTCCAACAGGTCACAGGCCCGTGGACCCATCATTAGAAAGCCCCGTTTAGGCTCCGGTATGGATTACCAAAAATCAACTTCAATTCAATGTTTTTATTCCCTTATTTATCACAATATTGTCTATTTATCTTGAAAATTCAGTCTCCTTGTTTCCTATTCAGGCTCATCCCATCAAAATTTTTTCTCAAATATTAATCGAAAGAATGAAGTGGGGATCGAATTAATTTTCTCTACAGCTCTTGTTGATTAAAAATGAAAATAGATCTTTTCTGTTATAAATTTTCTGAGCAACAAAACAGATCTTATCTCAAAAATCCATTGAGATCGAAAGAGCACTCCTGGAAATTAATGAAAGGATTGATGGCCTGAATTTCAGAGATCTTTTTCGTTACAAATTTCTAGAGCAACAGAAAAGATTCCTTGGAATTTTGCCATGAGCTCCAGAATCTTCATTCTATCGAGATTCCAATAAAAAAAAAAGTGATATTTAAATTATCGAAGCCTCTCTCTGTCTTCCAGAGGGCACGTCATCCTCGAAGGGTACCTCGAGTACTCAGGGCTCATCGACCACCTCAAGCCAACAGTATTTAACCCACTCATCCCGACCAAATTCCCCACTTCTCCCCCAGCTCTGTATCTCTCAGCTCCTAGCCATTGCCGAAGACTCAGGTCTCTCCCTCTCAGAGCCCTGCCTCCACCTGGTGCTCCGTCAGCGTACAAAAGACACGAAAGACGATACCCCACACTTCGAGGACAGCGATCTCCTGACTTACAGAAGAATCGAGAGTGCCCTGGGAGTTTTTTCGTCAGGAGGTGGACTCGCAGTCCTAGCTAAGCATCTGCCCCTGGTTTATCCAGAGAGTGGTCGAGCCCCAGTGTTACCTGAGAAATCGCCATCCCCAGAGCAGACAGACGCCGAATGGGTGAAGGTGGAAGCGAGTGAGGACATCTACGAGGACGTGGAGGAGGGTGGGGTCAGCACATCTCCCAGATCGACTCCACCAGCGCCCCACGTACCCCTGCACTCTTTGGCAGCTTTTGGACTGTTTCTGCGCCTTCCGGGGTATGCAGAAGTCCTCCTACGAGACCGAAAGCAGGCGCAGTGTCTTCTGAGACTTGCCCTTGGTGTCACAGACGACGGAGAGGGTGGAGACATTCTGGGCTCACCCCTGGCAGCTTCACTCCCCACTCTTCCCTTCCAAGTACTCAAACAACTCCTGGAGGCAACTCCACCGACCACTGATGACGGACAACTCCTTCGAAGGACAATGGTGGACATTGGTGCTGTTCTCCTACTCCTCAACTGTCTTGCTATTTTTACTCATCAAACAACAACCTACAACGATAATCCTGATCAACGTATTGGACAGACTGGAGGTCGTAGTGATGACAAATCCCACCTATACTGGGCGAAAGGCACTGGTTTTGGTACTGGATCGACCCAGCAGTCCTGGAACGTCGAGCAGGCACTCCTGCGTCAAAGATCTGAAGAGGAGCACGTGACAGTTTTGCTGAGAGTCCTCGCCAGTTACATTGGACATGGGGGTGGGCCCCAGAGGGAGCTTCCAGGCACCTTCTCCGAGCTCATGGCTAGATCCTGCCTCCTGCCAGCCCTCTCCTCCTACCTGAGAAATGACTCGGTTCTGGACATGGCACGGCACATTCCCCTTTATCGAGCTGTTCTCCAGCTGTTGAGATCCATGGCACTCGCACCACAATTGGCACCACTCCTACTACCAAGGGCCAGCAGATCTGGTGATCCCTCCATTGTATCGTTACTCTCCAGCATGAGAGTGTGTGTTGACACGTACGTTCACAAGATCAACAGGACAAGGGGAAATAAATCAAAGTCTCTGCCAAAGTATCCCGATGATTCTGAGGACGAGGGACTTGCCACGTTGATCCCTGATATTCAGGAGAGTGCGACAATCGTGCAGAATGCAACGTCGAGACTCGCTGCCACTGGGGAAGACCTGGCTGGACCCAGTCCAACAGCACCAGAGTTACATCTGCGATCTCTCGAGCAGAGGTACCTCGAGGTAATGAAGAGTCTGCAGTTCGATACCTATGAGATGATTGCTGAGAATTCTGATGGTGGGGGATACAAGTTTGTTGTCTCTTATCACTTTGAGTCGAATATGAGAGCTGCTGGGGACAGGAGTCATCCTGCCAGGGTGAAGAGGCTAGCACAAGAGGCCGTCACTCTGTCCACGGCTCTTCCTCTGTCTTATAGCAGCAGTGTATTCGTTAGATGTGATACTGATCGACTTGATATCATGAAAGTACTCATCACTGGACCTGCTGAGACACCGTATGCCAATGGATGCTTCGAGTTTGATGTCTATTTTCCACCGGATTATCCTAATAGTCCCATGCTCATTAATTTAGAGACCACTGGGAGACACAGTGTCAGGTTCAATCCTAATTTGTATAATGATGGGAAGGTCTGTCTCAGTGTACTCAATACTTGGCATGGAAGACCGGAGGAAAAGTGGAACGCACACACCAGCAGTTTTCTTCAGGTTTTGGTGTCGATTCAATCACTCATTCTCGTCCCAGAGCCCTATTTCAATGAACCTGGATACGAGAGGTCCAGGGGAACTTCCAGTGGCGCACAATCTAGTCAAGAGTACAATGCGAATGTCTGTTTCGCTACTGTCAAGTGGGCCATGCTGGATCAGATCATCAATCCATGTCCTTGTTTCAAAGAGGTGAGAACTTCGTCAATGTGTAGATAAACAACAATTTTAGGACAAGTTTAATTCAATTTGCTGATGACAGGCTGTTCGTTTTATTCTCCATACAGAGACTATTGTTTTGGTTTCAGGTGATTCATACACACTTCTGGATAAAGAGACATGAAATAGTTGCACAATTGGAGAGTTGGATAATGGACATGGAGATGCACGGATCAGACAGGAAGTCTGCTCGTACAATATCACTGAATGCACTAGCACTCAGGGTGAGTTATTGGCTGGAGAATTATTTTTGGATCGATTGTTGTATGAAAAATTTGAATTGACAATTTTTTCCTCGGATATTCAGAGACATTACAGACTATTGAGAGATGCCCTTAATAAGCTGCCAACCCCTGAGGGTCTTGAGGATTTAGCAGAGCCCCTGCAGTCACCAGCGACTTCTCTGGAGCTTGCAGGTACCCCAAGTACCCCAAGTACACCACCAACAAGTTCAACAACAACAACACCACTGGCACCAGTGCCCCCATCACTCACAGACTCAGTACCATCCCTCAACAACGCCAGTGCTAGTAATCACCTGCATCACGACATTGACACCGACGTGGAAATGGAGAAAATGGTCTCGAAAGTCTGTGAATAGCTAATGGATGTTGATAGAGATTGTTGGACGTTTCTAAAAAGTCTATTTGACAGTGTTATAAACATTCATAACTGAATTTCAATCATAAAAAATGGATAAATAATCCAAAAAAAAAGAATAACTCAAGGATCAAAGTGGTCGAACGCTTAAATAATTCAAAAAGAAAGATGATAGTCACAAAAATGTGATTCTTTGTTTACCATTGGATTTATTCTTATTTTATTTCGTTTTTTTTCTTGTTCATTATTTTTTTAGTTCGTAGTTAAAGAGAGGGAAAAGCTCGAATTTGTGCGCGAGTGAATGACTATTTTTTCCACATGTTGCAGATGATTATGATACTTCCATTATTGGGGGGAGTACTTGAGGGGAATGGCATGGAGAAAAAGCGGATGTACACGTGATTAAAAAGAATGGAAATAAAGTAGTGGTGAGGGGAGGGAGATGTGGGAGTTGATGTTTGTAGTGATGTACTTGATTGCTATAAATGTACACTTGGAATTCTACTGCTGTTGTCCTCCATGCTTAGTACATTGATGATTTTCTCCTCCTTTCTATTGTCCCCCCCCCCCTTTTTTTTCATTTTTTTCCCATTTTTCATGCAATCTTGACTGAGATTTTCGCAAAAACCCCAGATCGTTTTGTTAAGAAAAGAGAATATATTGCGTATGGAATTAATGGCCTCTTTGATGTTATTAGAATGAACGGAGTGTATTTGTTCAATATTTCTCGTAGAATTGACGAAGTTGTTTCACGTCGACGAAATTTTTTCTGCCTCTGGGGTGAGGCTGCCAGTGAAATAAATGAATAATTTTGTTTCACGTCGGATGATTAACAGAGATGCGCTCATTGAATTTTATTTCATTTTCCGCATTGCATTTTTCATGAATTATCATTTATTTTCGTGCATTTATCGGGATTTTTGTCGTGAATTTGGAACAAATTCGTCGATTCCTGAGGAATTTTTCATTATTTTACATTTTTAACTGATAATTTCGTTTAATTCCTCGATGACAGCCATATACCCCGCAATATTAATGAATAATCCTAGTTAAAATAACGAAGTGGAAGATTATACATTGGGTGAATCTGAAAATAAATAATGATAATGAGAAGTACAAGTGGGTGGGAGTGGTAAAATCGATCGAATAAAGTGTAAATAAAAAATTGCCAATAAGTTAGAAAGTCGTATTAAACGCATACGTGTTTCTATTTTTAAGAAATGAAGAGATAAATAATTGAAGGAATACGAGAAAATGATGGATAACAATAGCAACAAGGAATGGATAAAACAGCCATTGCCCTGAAGTGTAAATGGGATAATCGTAAAATTTAGATAAATCGATCGATTCAGTCGATTACACTTTCATAAAGTGGCGATGTATGAGGCTAGACAAGAAGTGTGTTAATAGTTATTTATAATAAACGAGTATTACCATTTAAAATATCCGATATCAATTCAATGCTCCACGTAAAAAATTTCCACATTTCCCAGTGAGTTTTCATCATTTTTTAAATTTTTAAAGCGAATTAGAAAAGTGAATTCCCATCCAGATTGAAAACTAGATTATTCTCCTAGTGCGAATGGTTACAATGTCATCCGGAGTGACTCCCTGATGCGATTTTGAAGTGGGAAGTTTGGGTATAGAGGTACAGTATTCTGACCGTACGTATTTCAATGTTACACTGTGAAATTTCCGCTCAGCCTCTGCACACATTTGAAACCCTCAGACATTTCGGCCGTTGCTAATTAGTGGCCTGTTTGTCCCTCTGCAAGTTAGTGCCAACACACTCGGAGTTACGCCTTCGCTAGTGGGTGGTGGGTGGTAAAGCCCCACTATCCGATTGAGGGTGGAAAAGCCTTTTCGGATGGTGTACGCTCATTAAGCCAATGACGAGACTCACCCCTTCAACGTGTTAATTCACTTACCGACGGAATGAATGGTCCGACTATTTTTACTCTACTCCACTTAATTATATTCAATTACTCAAATTAATAAACTAATTAATTAAATCTTTCAAAGATTGCAATCATGGATTGGGTTTCAAAAAAGGGGAAATAAAAAATCTTGATAAATCATTGAAAATATTTATTTGTTTACAAATTCATTAAATTATTTATCAGTTCATAAATTCTATAGGAACGATTTATTCACAGGAAAAGGATCTCTGGAGGTTATGGGGGGGTAAAAAATTGAGTTTGAATGTAATGGGTATTTATGGTATTTATAGGTGGCATGCAAATAATCATTTATTCCCATCATTTTTTTTTTATCTCGAGATACACGAATTTTTGTTCTTTCATATCTTCCGGTGTTTTCAACGAAATTACCCGGGGGTACAAAAGAAAAGTTTTGCCACAGCGGAGAATTCCACGACTGTTGATACATCATCCCCTTCTCTTCGGCTACATCTCCTTGAAAACTCGGTGGTTCGTGTCGAGTACAAAGGTATTTCATCGCAGTCGTTGCACTCGAAATAAGGGAGGCTCGCGAATATTTTTGGTCGACCGACTAGTCCCCGGGTATCGTTTCAACCCCCAACTGTTTCTTCTTCTCCTTGCACATCCCGCACTTCTTCTAGACGAAAACTTTATGAAATTCTGCCATGCGAAATTCTGGGGTGGAGAGGTATATTGGAGTGACCCATTTTGCTCTTTTTCCATTCAGCCTTTTTACCTCGGCATTCTCTTTCGTTTTATTCCGTTGGTTGGGTTTTCTCTATTTCAGGGAGTAAAGGAGGCATCTCATTGTAACTCTATGGCAAAAATATCCGGAGACAAAAGATGAAATTTAATGGCACACGGAAAAATATTCGCAAATTAAATTTCTAGTAAATTCTTTTCCTTCGAAATTGATATTTACGATTTTTGCTGTATTTGTTATTTCCCATGGTAGCAAGTGGCTTTCAGATTTTTATTTGCAATCATAAATTATTCTTCCATTAAATTCACGCGTGAATATCAATTTTAAGAATTATTTAGAAACGTTCAGTAGTTTTTTTATTTCCAATTTTGTCTACTTCAATTAATCGGCTTGTTTTTATTTCATTAATTGACGCGTTGAAGAGAGGATTTCTGTAATTTTAAGGGTTTACCAACTATTTAAATCCCTGAATTTAGATCTTGATACAAGATTTAAGTGACACCTGACCCCAGACAGACCAAAATGAAAATAACATTTGAAAATAAGAAGTGTACGATCACCCGATACTGTTCTGAGCATCGAAAATATTTATTTCTTTGAAAGTTCAATAGATAATTACAGACAATTCCAGAAGTCCTCAATGAAAATATCAATTTTTAAAATTAATTGATTGAATTTGTTAAAAATTCAGGCAGCACCAATGACAGAATGACAAAAGTTGAATAAACTTGTAAAAATGGAGAATCGAAATGTAAAAAACTTGGACTCTGGTTAAGACAACATTTCTGCTTTTGGTATTCCATGGGAAAGTGTACTCATGGAATATAAACGCACCCGGGTGTATTTATCCGGACTCGTGAGAGTACCCAGAGAAATACGTACGTTGCTTTAGTGGTATTCGATCAATTCAGGTGGATGGGGATAGAAATTGCTGGTGTACAGGGGGTGGAAGTTGAGTGAAACTCATCCAGAATGGGTTGAACTCTGCTCTGCAGGTGCCAGGCATTCTGTCTATGTACACTACCTGTCCACATTGTGCTTTTACTTCTCCCTCATCGTTGGTTTGTTTATTTTTCATCCATTCGCTTTGGATACAAAACAGTTTCTCCGAGTTGCCACTGACGTTGCGGCTTCTGGAATAGACAAGGAAAAATATTTCCGCGGTTAAGGGTAAATAAAGAGCTGTTTCTTCGGTACATAAATGGGGGTGAATGAGTCTGGGACCTCAGGAATCTCAAGATCTGCGCATAATACCATTTTATAAAAACATTTTTCTCATAAAATTCTCACTTAATACTTCATTTTTCCCGCAGTATTTTTCTCAATTTCCAATTCCACAACTTTTATCTTCAAAATTAATTACTTCATCATCAGTCACTAATTATGCAATTTATTTATTTTCATTTTTAATCTGAAAAATATTTATTAATTCCACGAGTGAGAAGGAGATGAGAAATTTTAATGGAATTGCAATTCAAATTCAAACGAATAATTATCCGTAATCAATCAATTAAAATGGTAAATAATATTCACAACAAAGCCGAAATGGCAAATATTCAAGATGTTAAAACAGATATTGAAAGAATATTTGCACGTGAACGGGTGATTTAAACCCGCTGAGCGTGATTTAACTGATTGAGAAGGTGACGATAAACTTTTTTTAATACTTTATATCCTGATAAGAGTCTGTATCGTTATACTCAGGGATAGATTGGGGGTAACTCACCGTTTTGAGGGACATGGGTCAGACACTCCGCCCATTTGGCCCCAAATGGATGATGGATGAGGGACGCATACCCCCGGAAACTCCAGGCCTTTTGCGCTTTATTCATTTTTTTATTTCACCCCACGTTTCATCTCGCTAGTTTTTTCTGTAAAAATAATCTCGGGAGAATTTTAGCTCCCATACGTTGCCTTCGCCTCGAGCCACCGTAATGGTACCACGCCAACGTGATTAATATATCATTCGATTCAGGCTTCTGGTTTTTACGGTTCTTTTTTTTTTTCGATGAGTGAGCTGGTAAAAACCGACGAGTAGGTGTAGACGTGTGTAGAAGTTTCAGGGGGAGAGATCTCTCATTGAAAAATGGAGGGAATGAATGATTGAATCCAAGTGGCTTGCGGACGTTTGTCAGAAGTTCTTCACATTTTTTTATTCAATTGATATCTCCCGTTGCAGTGGATTTAGAGAGAAGACTGTGAGGGGCTTTCTTTCGGGGAATTGTGTGGTCTTGAAAAAAGTTATCTCGATGTTTTTCGATCAAGTCAACAGTTACGGAGATATTCAGGAAATAAATTATCCCCGGGATGTCAGGATAATTGAGGGGATCGGAGTGGTCACCCCTCAGTTGATTAACATCAAAACTTCCCCCGAGTGTTTCTCAATTTAATCAATTTCCGGTTCTCCTCCTCAACTCTCCGTATTTTTCCTCTTATTCTTCCAACTTCCTCCTTAAGGGCGAGATTTTCCATCTCCAGGAGGCGATTTGATAATCTCCTCGACTCCAGTTCTTTCTTGAGAGCGTCGATTTCCCTCATGACACTCGACAATTCAAATTTCATCGAAGACAGCTCACGATCCGTCTCCTCAAAATTTCTCATTATGATTTCAGGCGTGGAAGGCACTGAAAATTGATTTCCAACACTGAATTTTCCCCTGACTCTCCCCTCGGTCTGCACTTTATTTTTCCGACCTCGATCGTCATTAACGTCTGCATCATCACCTCCAGTGGACCGGCAAATCCTCACCTCCAATTTATATGGCTCACCCTCGTCAATGATCAACGGGTGTTTGTCCGGACGGTAAATTCCCTCTGTACCACTCATTGGAGAAAAATTTCCAAAAGTATTTCCAATACTCGTGGATTCCCCTTGATTCATCGACAAATCGGTACCTGGGATCGGTGATACTGTTGACACCAGCATTCCAGACCCCTTTGCCACGTGTTTGACGTCATATGAAACTTGCAAATCCTCCAATGAAGTTTTTGCCCTCCGAGGTACTGACATATCCTCAGTGTTTGCTGGTTCAATTGCTCTCGAGTTTGTAGGCTCTAACCCAGATAATTTCAAACTCTCAAACATTCCTTCACCTTCAGTCACCTGAATCTCTCCTCCACATGTCACACTTTCATCATTTCTTTCATCATCTCTTTCATCATCTCTCTGATCATCTCCCTGATCATCATTACTCTCACATTTCAACAGCACCATTTCAGCTTCCAATTTTTTCATCACCTCCTCATTCTCCTCCGCCCTTTTCTCCAAAATCAAATTCTCAGCTCTCACCGAATTCCTATCAGACTCCACCAAATAAAATTCACGATTCCTCTTCATCAATTCTTCCTCTGACATTTTCAAATCCATCGTCAGTCTATTCGATCGAGCCCTCAAGATATTTATTTTATTGCAGAAAAACTTTTTATTGAGAATTTCCGCTCTCTGGAGTGACCTCAATTTTTTCAGCCCTCTATTTTCATTCTTTAATTGATTAATGTATTTCGATGTGATGGAGGAATTAATTTCCATGAGTTTAATTTCTTGGGCCTTTCTTTCCGTTTCTTTAACTGATTTTTCGAACTCCCGGAGAGCTTCTCTCGTCGTTATCCTCTCCACCTCCAGCTGATCCACCAACTTCTCTTTTTCCTCAATAACTTTCATTAATTCCTCGTTGAGACACTCCACATCGTAGCTATCCTTGCAATTATCGTTGAGAGTGATTAGTTCCTCGTTACTGGATTTTATCTTGCCTTTGGTATCGTCCACTGCGTCGGACAGTCTTTTTCCACTGACATTGGCCTCAACGGACTTCCATTTCTCCTCGATGTTCTTTGAGCCTTCGGTATCACTCAACTTCTCCGACAATTTTTTATTTCTCCTTAACGATATGATTAACTTTGTTCGCAGACTCGACGCAAGCCTCTTCAAAGCACTCGCCTTCAACTCTTTCTCCATTAAAATTTTATGAATTTTTTCCTGCATCTCTTTTAATAGACGATCTTTCTCCAGAGAAACATTTAATTCGTTTGGTATTTCACCGGTGCTCCGATCGATTTTATCCGTCAACGATTTCTCGGGGACGGCGATATTCTCGAAGACATCCCCTTTATCTTTGACTTTGTCATGCAAGAGAAAATGTTAATGTATAAATGTCAGGTTGACGTTTTTTCCAATCCACATTTATAAATTATTGTTGCACCTGGTTATTCATTATTATTTAACCCCACAGTAATTCCGAATTCAACTAAATCATCAATCATTCCACTAGGAAATACATTAAAGGGAACAATTTCCAATTTACAATGAAAAATATAAACAATGAAATGAAGAACTGATTAAATTATGAAATTCCCTGATATTATATCCCGGAAACAATGATTTTCATAAAAAATGAAGAAAGGAAATAAAATGTTTTGTTAAAAAAGGGAGAAGGGGAAAGGGGTTTTACCTTGTCCCACTTTAATTAGTTGACTCGACATTTGAAAAACTGTGTCAATAAGTTTTCTGGCCGCTCTCGCAATGATGTCATCAAATAATCTGTCTCCCTCTCGGTACTCGTCAAGTTTCCCTCTAATTTCATGGTACATAGTACCATCGACCTCTGCCTCATTCAACTTACTCCTCAAACGTGCGATCTCCTGTGCAAGATGAAGCTTTTCTTCGGCAACTTGGCACTTCACCGTTGCCATTCCACATCTCACTTTTCTCTCTACATTCCATGATATCGTACGCTGTGCATTCATCAGTGCAACACTCATACTCTGTACTTTCATTCTCATATCATTATTCATCCTCTCCAGGCGATGTATCTCTTGGCTTTGATGCATCACCAGTGGATCCCCCAACACTGGGTAAAGGAAATGAGGTGAAATTACAATTGATGAATCTCATTCAATTTGTAATGAGTATTCCCATCCATTTTTTTATATCAGAATATTTTAACTATTGAATTATTAAATAAATTATTTTTTCATATAGACTGATTTTAACTGATAATTTGTCGTTTACAATTAAAATTTAATGGAATAATTTGCAATCATAAAGTTTTTACACATGATTTTTTAAGGATTGATTTTTTAGTGAGTGCCAGCTCGCTAATTATTCGCTTCTTCATTAGCGCTAAATCGTGGATTCACTTGCTCGAGAATAAAAAAATTGTACGTTTGGGGTTGAATTACGTCTCTCAGAATATCCCAGAGCAATTTTCAAACGATAAATGTCACTCGTGAGGATATCCCGCTCCCGATTCCAACTCTTCATATCATTTATCGTCTCGTTCAATCTCACAAGGGTTCCCTCAGCTGTTTCAAAGAGTTTTCGCTTCCGCCGCTCCAAATCCTCATCCGCGTAACTTTCCATCTCCATTTTTCTCAAATAATCATTTGAATTTTTTTTTAAACAGATAATTTTGGGGGTTGGGTCTCGATGCAATGTGACAGTCGGTGACATTTCGGTGATTTTAGGTGTGCGATGAGTCGAGAAAATTGGAGGAAAAAAAAAAGAGGAAAATTGTGTGGAGAGAAAATCGAATAAAATCATGACACCACCGAATTCACGCTGACTAAATTAACAGATTAACAAGTATGTGTTAATTATTAATCAACAAATATCTCACTAACTAATTCAATTAATTGGAGAAAATAAAAAATTAGTAGAACAGTTTTTTCACAATTTGTTCATGAACTTTGTACAATTTTATTGATTGTAACGAGTAATTAATTAATTTAATTGATAAAACAGGAGAAAATAATAGGGAAAATAGGGAAAATGGACTGCGGAATGTACCCCCACTCGAAATGCCTCTGTAGTGGTGACTGCGAGGTAATTTCAACCCTTTCCTCTGAAATCCAAGTCCCTCAAGTCCCGTGTGAATCTTCGCCGAGTCTCTGCTGCTGCAGCTACAATCCCCCCATAGAAACCAAAGACGACGAGATACACGACTTGGACTTCGCCCTGCGTAAACTCTCCGTAATGAAGTGTCAAATGAAGAAATGGAGACTAGAGAGGCTCAACCTCGAGAGCAAATTCCGCGCCCTGAAGGAGAAACTCCAATCCCTAGGTAAAAGCGCTTTAAAAAATAAATATCACATTATCCCAGTAGCTCAAGATCTGAGAAAAATTCCCTATCCTCAGATTGCATTCTCCATATATTTATAATATACTATAAACAAATTTCAATTGTTTGAAATCTAGTTCATGACTCGTTAAAGGAAAATAAGTAATTTTTTCTTCAGGTGTTGATCCTGAGGAGCCCCTGAAGACGGATCCTCTTCTGGTTCATTACCGTGACGAGGCAATACGTCTGGAATCCGTCAAAGAAGACCTAGAGGAGAAGATCAGAGACCTGGAGGATACCCTAACTGAACGGGAGCTTTACTCTAGTCCGTGTGATGGTGCCCGGGTGATCCACGAGAAGATGCGGGTACTTCGCGAGCAATTCCGCATCGACAAGAAAAAGTACTCCTAATTCCCTTTTACTTGAATAAACCTCGCAAATCAACTCGAGATTCATTTGATCGTAAAAAAAAATCGCTCTCTCAATATCAAAAGATGAAACAAGTGGAAAATCCCTGGTTCATTGCACAGAAATATCCAATAAATTTCGAAATAAATTAACTGACCGATTGAATTATTAAAAAATGTAATTGGAAAATCTTCTCAGAAATGTTATTTAATTATTTAAATATACCTTCAGACTATTTATCAATTTTCCGGAATTCAAATTAATCCTCAAATGAATTTTTAACACGTCAATAATTCAACGATTAATATCGAGACAACAATAAGATGAAATAACAATGATGTTTAATGAGTTCTCATTAATTATTTCGCCCCTCCCGGGTGCCAATAAAATCGCCTGAATTTCTGTTTGCCCGCGAAAAGGTTGAGGGAAAAAATAAGAGAGCTGAGGGTGAAGGTGGCCGATGCAGAGGACGAGGTATCCTGTGCCGGTGTAAATCGCCTGCGGGCAAAACTCCGGAATTTGGTAAAGACAATTGGTGACAAAGGAGAATGCAAAATTACAGCGACTGAGGAAAAAATCGAGGGGCAAATAATGTTGATGGGAAACTTGGAGGAGATGAGAGATGAGTACGAGCGTACTCTACTGGAAAATGAGAGGCTAAAACGTGAACTTGGTGAGAGGATGGTGAACGTTGGGGACACGGGGCACGAGATTATCGGTGACAAGAGTGAGCTGGTGGGAATGAGGAAAATGTCAAAGGAATCGGATGAGGGTTTGGTGGGTGCGAGGGACAGGGAGGGTGAAGATATTGTTGAGGATTTGAGAAGAAAATTGAGGGAGAAGGAGGGAGTCATTCTGGGATTGCAAAAACGAATGTCTGAGGATGCTGATAGAATGAGTGTGAGTCATAAAGTTGTGATGGAGGAAGTCACTGCTGCCAAAGAGGAGCTCAGGAAAAGGGATGAGAAGGTTTGTCCCCTGAAAACAATTTCAGTTTTTATTGGGGAGTCCTTGGGTAGCCCAATGAAAACTAAGGGAATGTAGTTTTAGTGGCAACCTATCCAAAGGTTCATTGTCTTAAAAAAGAAATTCCAATTTTATGACGCGGGGGTGTAAAAAATTATGACACTTTTTTCTGATTAATTTCTGTCAATTAAAAAATCAGTAGCCAATAAAAATGGCAGCTTAAATTATCTCTGGATTGTTTTAGTATTGCTTTCACTTAGATTCAGGAGCTGCTTGGAACCCTCGGTCGGAGTTCCCTGGATCTTCTGGGGATGTCGTCAGTTCAGGGTGAGATAGAAGTGCTGAAGCCTCAGTTGTATGATCTGACAATAGAGCGTGATAAATTGCTGGCGGAAATTCGTAAAATCAGGGAAGTAGTCTCGGACAGGAATGATCAGATTATAGAGATCCTGGAGCAACGTGACAAGTTATCAGAAGATTCAAGGGATAAAATCGTAGCTTTACAGGGTAGGATCGATGCGTTGTTGGGACAGGAGTTGATATATCGTGGGGAGATTGATGGGCTGAGGGATCAGGTTGATGAAAGGGAGATACGTGAGACAGAGCTGAGGAATAGAATTGCTGAGTTGGTGATACAGGGAGATAATGCATCTGCTCTCGAGGATAGAATTCGAAACCTCGAGGCGGAACTCCAACTGGCGAATCATAATGTTGAGATAATGGACAAGCAGATTGAGAAATTGAAGATAGATCTTCAGCTTCTGAATGACGAGAAAGTCGAAATGCTGGATAAATTTCAGAGAGTTAATCAAGAGGCTGAAGAGATGAGGGGAGAACTTGAAAAGTGTCGTGGAGAGTGCGAGAAACTCGGAGAGCGAAATTCTGATCTTCAGGTTGAACTCGAGGAGGTGAAGAGTCACTTTGAGAAAATCAAGGGTGATAATAGTCAGCTCAAATTAACTTGCGATAATTTACTGGAGAAGAAGAATATTTTGAGCGAGGAGAATGGTGTGCTTGGTGATGAGCTGGATAAAATGAGAGGTGAATCCCTGAAATTAATGAGTGACATTGAGAGTTGTGAGCTGGAGGGAAAGAAGTTGGAAAATAAAAATGCGGAACTCGAGGATGAACTTGAAAAGTTGAAGAGCCTTTTCGACTCAATGAAGAGTGAGAATGAAAACCTGAAGACTTCCCTCGACCAAAAGACCTCGGAGATCATAGATTTGAAATCAGCAAGCGATAATCTTCTGGGGAGTAAAAAAAGTTCTGACGATGAGAGAAATAAATTATCTCTGGAGCTCAAAGAAATGTCTGGAGAACTGGCGGAGCTCAGGGAACAGCTGGAGAACTCCAATTTCGAAATCGGTAAATTGCGAGACGAAAACTCGTCATTGCTGAGTCTAAGAGACGATCTGGAGCAATCGAGGAAGACCTTGGAATCTCTCCGAAGCGAGAACGAAGGATTGAGAGTTTCTCTGTCCCAGAGGAACGCAGAAAGCACTAGATTAGCGACAGAAGTCGACGATTTAACCCTCAAGAACAAAAACTTGGAAGAAAATCTGGCTGAACTAAATAAATCCCTGAAATCTGAGTCCGAGACTTTGAGAACTGAATTATCAACGACTCAGTCTGACCTAGTGTTCTGCAGGTCCCAGAACGAGGAGTTAAAATCCAAGTGTTCAGAATTGGAAGACGAACTGTCTCGTCTCGAAGTGGAAAGATCGAGATGCCAGTCAAAACTCGAGGACTTGCACTCATTAAATCAATCGAATGAAGACTTGAGGAAAAAAATAGAGACACTGGAGTTCTCGAAGAAATCGCTAGTCTCGGAGAATGAATCTCTGCAGCTAGAGCTGGGGGAAATGTTAAAAAGGGTTAAAGCTCTCGAGGAAGAGGTGTTCGATTTGACAGAGGAGAACGGAAGAGTGAGGATTGAACTCCAGAGACAGACGGATGATGTTAATTCACTCAGGCAGAATCTCATCGACAATCAGAATCTCGTGAAGTCACTGGAGCTGAAGGATGCGGAGTTGACGTCATCCAAGGAAACACTTGAGAATGAATTGACAGTGGTTACCAATGCCCTTGAGAAAGCCCGGGAACAATTGGGATTGGTGACTGCTGCTAAAGAGGCAAGTGAAGCGGAATTATTCGCCTTGAAGGGAGAGCTGAGGGATCTGATAGTAAAATTGGAGGGGGCAGCCGATAAAAATAAAGATATCGAGGTGGAGAGGGATGAATTGAAGCGGCAGTTGATTGGTTTGCAGGAAAAATTGGCGGCGTGTGTTGCCGAGGGTGTGGACTTGAAGAGAGAAATTAAAAGAATCGGTCCTGAAAATGAGGGATTGAAGGGCGAAGTCCATCAGCTGACTGCCGATATTGATTTTTGGAAGATGGAGAAGTGCAAGGTTGGATTGGAAATTGATAAATTGAGAGGTGATCTGGAGAAATCTCACGGGGAACTTGACAAATGCAGGGGGAGAGTGCAGGAACTCGAGGAAATTGGGATTTCGTCGGAATTGTTGAAGGCTGATGTTGAAAAGCTTGGGAAGCTTTTGGAGGACGAGAAGAAGTCGAATGCGAAGAGTTCGGTGAGGATTGGGGATTTGGGGGATGAGCTGGAGGCCCTCAAGGTGGAGCTGATGAACTCAAGAAGAGATAAAGAGAGGCTCAAGGCTGAGCTTGAAGAGACTTCGGGGAAGATCGCGTCGTTGAGGGATGCGTCGGTTTCTCTGACTGAAGAATTGTCGGCTTTAAGGAATCGACACGAAGAGCTGAAGAGTGAGAATAAGAAGTTGAAGACTGAGAAGGAGAAGCTGAAGACTGATTCCCTCGCCGGTGGTGACACCAAGGCTTTGATGAGTGAGAATTCGGGGTTAAAGGGGATAAATGATGATTTGAATTCGGAGAATTCGATGCTGAAACGAGAGATCGATGATCTGCAAGGTAAAAATTCGGATTTGCTGTCGATTGTATCGAAATTACAGTCAGACCTGGCGACTAGTGATGCGTCGCGTGAAAAATTGAAGGAGCAGTTGAGAGATTTAACATCAGGAGAACTGGAGTCTTTGAAATCTGATCTGGAGAAATCCCAAAGAGCTCATTCGATGAGTGAGGGAAGGGCGCGAGATTTGGAGATGTCGTTGAATGCTTTGAAATCGGAAAGAGACAGTCTCGTCGCTGAGTTGAATAACTTGAGAAGCCAGGGAGATGCATTGAGAAGTGCTCGAGATAAGATTGAGGGCCAGGCTGAGCAGATCGATGACCTGAACCGTGAATTATCGGCTTTGAAAGATGGACTCGAGAGATCTCGTCAAGAGGGTGATAAATATAGGATGGAGATCGACAACCTGGGGAAGAGTATCGCCTCATTGCGGGAGGATAAGGAGAAAATGGTGGATGAACTTGAGAGATGCAGGAGTGAGTCTGCTAAATTGTTGGGTGAGTCACAGGGTCTCAAGGAGAAAATCGCGGGTTTGGTGGAGGAGGGGAAAAATCTCAGGGCCAGCAATGACTCGTTGAAGAGGTCTCTGGAGGAAGCCCAGGGGGGAGTCAGATCCTGGGAGGAAGAGGAAAAGAAATTGAAAGAGGAGTTGAAGAAGGCTGGAGATCAAATAGGTAATTTTTTTAGATTGTCGGTTATTAATTCATTTTTTGAGATGAAAAAATCGGACAACTTTTCACTTTTGCATGAAATATTTCTATTAAAGAATTTAAGACAACGAATTATTGTTATTATTATGTGACGCGAGATAACTGAAACGATTGAAAAACTCTCGATTGAACAGGTGATCTGGCTCGAGAAAAATCGCTGAAAGCATCAGCCCTCGAGGAACTAGACGCTCTGATAAAATCCTCCGGAGTCACCACTCAAAAACTAAAAGACTTGGAGTTAGAGCATGAAAAATTACTCGAAGAATTACAAAAACTGAGAAATCAATCCAGCGAGATGGATAAAGAGAGAGAGTCAAAAGAAAGCGCTCTGAAGGAGTTGGAGGCCCTTAAGAACACTCTGTCGAGCCTGAGAAAGGACTTGGAGTCTTGCAAAGCCATTGAGACTCGTTTGAAAAATGACCTAGAGGTAGCAGTTAACGATTCAGCGAAATTAAAAGCCGAGTTGGATATGATTAAAGGTGAGAACATTCGTCTGTCAAATGACATCGAGACAGCAAAGACCGATGTGAATCGGGGAAAACTACTGTTGAGTGAGTTGGAATCGAGGTACACGAAACTTGAGGAGGATCTAGATGAAAGTAGAGGTGAAACGATGAAAATTATGGTGAAACTGCAGAGTGTTGGTGATGAGAATGACAGACTGAAGGGTGAGATGGAGGGGCTGAAGGGAGAGATTTTGAGAATTCAGGAACTCGAGGAGGCATTAAAGCTGAAGGATAAAGATAACGAGAACAGCGAGATGGAGATGAAACGTTTGAGGAATGAGAATGAGAGATTGAAGGGTGATCTTGGAAATATGAGGGATAATTTATCTCGAGTTGATGATGATTTGAGGAGGAAAACTGTCGATGCCGAAGGTTTTGATGAATTGAGGGTGGAGATTCAAGGGCTCAGGGATACCAATGAGAAATTGAAGAGTGATTTACTCCGACTGAAAGCGGAAAACGATTTAATGAGGGATCAAATTGATAAATCGGAAATTGATAATGGTGTTATTAATGAACTGGTGGGGCAATTGAATTTAAAGCCTGAGGTTGACCTTGGGGCATTTGAGAGAGAGATCGACCAGTTAAAAGTGGAAAATTCAGAGTTGAAGCCTGAGGACGCCAGGGGTTCCATGGAATTGGAGTGGTTGAGGGTGGAAATCGATAGGATTAGGGGTGAGAATGATATTTTGAGAGGTGGATTGGATGACTCGAGCCTCCAGAAGACTCTGAATGAGCTGACAAGGGAGAGACAAGCTGCTGATGATTTGAGGAGGGAAAATGCTGCATTGAGGAGAGACATTGAGGTGTGTCGGGATTCCGAGAGGCTGAGGCAATCCACTGGTGAAATAAATGATAAAAAGTCAATACTCGGAGCTAAAGAGAGGATCGAGTCACTCGATGAATTCTTCATCGCGTTGAACTCACTGGAAAGGAGATTTGATCGACAAATCAACGGTTAATCAACTATTTTTATGAATTTTTAGTGTTTTATCAGAGAAGGATCGGGTTTTATTGTTTTTATTCGTTTTGTTATGCAGATATCAACGGTATTAGGACGATGATTGATTTATTGGTGAAGGGAGTTTGGGAGGAGAATATTCGAGAACCTGGGGATTCTTTTGGAACTGTCAGCGTTACGAATTCTGTCGTTGCTGGAGTTATTGAACAGTCGCGACAACTTTCTGATTTTATTTCCCAGGCGGAGAAGGAATTGATCAATTTCGCAAAGATGCACTCCTCTCATGTAATTTTCAGAGATTTTCGACGTGGGGGTAACATTATTTTTATTGAGTATATTCCACTTGGCGAAGTTGTTCCGCAAAAATTATTTATCGTGAAGATGTTTGATTTGTCATTATTAAAATTCTCTTGCACGTCTTCACAATGAATATTATATCAATAAATCAATAGAGTGTTGATATTATAATGATATATATTGTTATTGGAGGAAAGTGAATAATACTTGGTTGAAATAATTTATTTTACACTGTCAGAAAAATGTTCTAGTCATTGATAATAATATTGTGATTCAAAGTGTTTGAAGAGATAATTTTTTATTTAGGAAAATGGGGCTTTTGATCCAGAGTCTTGGTTGAAGGTAAATTTCTATTTGATTAATGATCAATAAATTACTTCTATTGCATCGTGGGCTCAATTAATTCCACCCCATTCGTTCCACCCACAATTAACAATAAATCACCGATTAATTATTCAGTATTCGTGTTTTCCATGAATTACAGTCACTTCCCCTGACCGCACTGGCCGATTTGCACGAAAAAATTTGCGAATTAACGTCAAATGTTGTTAGAGAGGATCAGAATGATCCTGGGGCCCAGGGGGTTCACGAGAATCCTCTCCAGCAGAGCTACGAGATGCTCAACTCGAGGATTGCAGCATTGCAGCGGCAAATAGTGGATAAACACTTGGAGGCTGAGAAGAAGGTGAAAAAAATGAGACGTACCCTGCGTCATGAGCAGGCGGAATTAATTAAAATATCCGAGGCGATGAATTATCAACGAAAACGCAATTTGGCACTACAATTGACGATGGATGAAGCGCCGTGCTGGATTAATGATTGTCAGGCTGACTGCAGTGACAATAAAATTGTGGGAGATTATTTTCATGTCTGAATAAAAATGAGCAGTGACTCTGTGCGCGTAATCAATTTATTCAGTACTGGAAAATTGAAATATCCGTGATATATGACTCCATTGATTTTATCAGGAGGATAAATGTCGTAATGATTCTGTTTGATATCTGATGCAGCTCTTGCTTTATCTCCAGTTATTTTTTAAATCCAATTTTAAAGCAAATATCATTATCCATTCGGTGTTCATGTCGCGTGAGTGGGTGGAGGGGTGGGTGGGAAGTTATCTCGGGATTTGAATAAAAAATAATACCAGCAATAACATCCGGAAGAACCGTGAGAACGGTTTTAACCGATGGATGCATGGATAGGAAAATGTTTCGTCGGTGGATGGGTTTTTCTTGTTGGGATGCTTTCTTTTGTCCCTGCACTGAGGGCTTTTTTATTTTTTTTCTCGTTTTTTTTTATCTCTGGAAGAGAGAATGGAGATGTGGGGAGGTGGAATAAAAATTGAAAGAAGCAGATGGAAAATTGTGGGGGGGGGCGCAAATGGGTCATTTCCGGGGATCGATCGAGGCTTTTTATTGGGGAATTACTGAAAATAATCCCTTTTAGAAATATGGGACAGAGAGGGAGTGGGTAATTTTTCTTTATTGCTCTTTGAGATCGGATTATTACCTTACCATTTTGGTGATATTTTTGGGCTTTTTTTTTAAGGAATTTGGGGGGCTTTAAGGGGGGCCATGTCTCAGAATTTTCATGGGACTTTCAAGTTTTTTCGATGGTTTCACCATGCGTGGGGGTGGGGTGTGGGAATTTCGGGAGTTCAAGGAGTTCAGATGTTAAAAATAACTTGGAATATATCGAAAATCGATGGAGAAGTTGAACTGGAGGATTATCTCTTCAAGAACATGAATCAGGAAGATTATTTTAAATAATTAGATGTCTGCTGAGCAGAAGAACCTTCTAAATAAGATAATCTCTTCAATCCTTTCATCCATCGAATTATTTAATTATTTCCAAATTTAAATACCAGATTTTCTTGTTCTTCCTAATTTTATTTCTTAATTAAAAGTCAATCTTTCAATCAGGCGCCCAAAATGCACCGAAAATTTGAGCTATTGAAAGTCTCCGGAATTATGCACTGAATATATCTGTCAGTGGGTGTGACTAATGGAAAATGGTACCTCTAAAAATATTTCCAGGTCGTATATTTAATTTTAATCCCGGCTAATGCAACATGAGCGATGGTAATCAGGAAGCTGTGTTGCTCAACGTCCACATGGAATTCGCGTGCGGAAATGAAACGATCGAAAAAAGTATCGCTTCATTGTATTTCGTGTTAGAATTTTTTTTTATACCTCCAGTTTAGACCTTACGTGACCGGTTGATTATTGTCGATCGGTTAAGTAAGATAATTAGTTTTACTCTTGTTTTTTTTTTTTTCAACGTACTCGCGTGGCTTTATAAAAGGGCCAATAGCTCCCCGGAGAGACGGATGTCTCATTTCCTCGTGCGAGCCACTGGCGGATTGAATAATAAAAATTCACGGAATTCATTTCATCGTGTGAATATGTTTCGTGATAAATTTATAACTCTCACTTTTTTTGCAGTGCATCTGCTTGGGATTCAAGTAATTTATCGAAAAATTTATCCCCATTTTTCTGCATCAGTTTTTTTTAAATCGTTGTTCTCATTGTTGGCTTGAAATATTTTTCAGGCAAAGCTTAATGTGTATTTTGAGAATTTTTATGTCGATGAAGTTGATTCGAACTACATTCGAGATGCTGAAGTTGACATCAACACCGACAGTGAATATGATAATACCATTTTCGTAAATTTTACGATTGTAAATCCATTACCGAAGACAACAAAAGTGAGTATAATCAACAGTGGGAGGGGTAAAATGTATAAATAATGGGAATTGGATAAATAATTCGGGTCTCATTGATTTCTTGGAAATAATCGAATGGAAAAATCGAGGAATTCACGTTTCAATTCCGATAATTGAAACAGGAAATCGATGAAACACTCGATTATTCAATGCCAATATTCCCGAAATTCGTTTTTTTTGTGGAAGTGGAACGCGTTAAAAATTTCTGAGATATGCACTCCAGAAGACTAAATTATAATTAATATTATTAACAATTATCGTTCAAGTGTAAGTGAATCTCTCGCGATTTTTATAAATATTGAATAGAAAAATTGAAACTTCAATTGCAATTATGAAAGAAAACTGAGTTTTTCCTCGATATTTATTTCTGTAAATAATTATTATTAAAACATTCCATGTTTTCTGTCTCAGGCGTATTTGGAAGTGATTGGTATGTCAATGGGAGAATTCGTATTGCCGACTGGTCTATTTTTTGACATGGACATGTGCAGTTTGGATGATGAACCTGTACTACTCGGCCCCTTCTTCGATTCTCTCGGCTTCACCTCGGAAAATTGCCCACCAGAAAATGTAAAACACTATATCATACGGATTTAAACAAAATGTCAATGAAAAAAATTTAATTTCTTTCAGGGAGTCTACACTTCGCTTCATTATGAAGTACCCACGGACGAACTTCCGTCGGAGATACATACTAACAAGTACAAAATAATTTTCAAATTTGCCGACGACGGAAAAACAATTATCAGTCTCATCTTCATCACAGAAATCCAATAGCCTCGATTATTTCATTAATTTTCACTCGTGTCTAACTTGTAATTGTAATGATCGTAAAAAAATAATTCCCTAAGTTTAATTTCGTTAATTTGTTGAGAATCTTCTTCACATAATTTAATTAAATTAATGGACTAATAATAGAATTAAAACAATTCTTCTTAATCTAGAAGTAATTTCAAATTTTCATGCACTTGATGGTAATGATTAATAATTTATTATATTTGTTGGCAAATGAGCGAATAATTAATCCGTATGAAGTTATTTGAAGGGAAGAGAGGATCATCGCAAGAAAAATGTAAAAATGTAAAAGAATAACAGGATGTGGCTAAAAGATTATTTTTTGAATGTATCCTCCGTGTTTTGGAGGTGTGACCCGGGCACAAACATAGTCCGGTGATAAAAAAAATATTTCAAATGAAGAAGAAGAGAAGATGTGAAAAACATAATGGAGGGGACGAGTGAAAAGGAGCATCCCCTGGGACTGGGGGTAACATAATGAAAACCGACGGCCTCCTCTTGTCAGTCTAGGAGTGAACAAAGCCAGTGGTACACAAACTGCTCGACAGCTTCTGTCATCTAGCGAAAGCCTTTCTCCAACCCTCTCATTTCCAAAAAAAAAAATAAAAAAGAATAATTTTCCTGCCATTAAAATTCGAATAAATAAACATCTCATAATTAAAAATCATTTTTTCGTCGTCTCTCTGATTTACTTCGAAGTAAATAATTTTTTTAAATAATAAATAATAATAATGATTAATAATTTCCCGGTGAAATTTTCCTCTTCCTAATTTTCGTCAGTTTCTCTATAAATTCCCTCGGCAAAATTATTTATTCTCAGTCTTCAATTCTAAAGTAAAAATGGAGTTGACTCGGCATACTCATTCACCCCAAAACTCTCATTTCGTTGTTCTTTCTTGTTCGCTTTTCTCGGGGTCCGTTTGTTCTTTCAATTGAGAGAGAGAAAAAAAGAGAGGGAGAGAGTGGGACGAGTTTTCACGGTCGGACGGGAATGAAATTGTGGGAGAGAAAGAAAGTTAGGTGTCCTCGGCACTTTCCCTGCGGCCATTCTTTCGCACTCTTTCATTTACCCTTTTTTTTTTCCCTCATGAACCCCCACGTCCCTCCCACCGACCGCCACCTATTTCTTTGGTTACCCCCTGTCTCCGTAAATCATCGCATTTAGTCGTTCATCTTTCCCTTGATTTTTCAAGATGTTCAGCCGAAATAACCGGCGATGGCCCTAAATTCATTGAATATCAAAAATAATAACAAATATTCCCCACTGATTTATGACAAATAAAAAATATGAATTTCCAATAATAAAATAAAATCCTGAAATAAACAATAATTTTCCCTTTTACGAATCCCAATAACAAACAATCCCAACCCCCACCCCCTCCCACCTCCTCTCGCCCCGAGCTTCCAAAATTCTATTTTCCGCATAAAAAATGTCTGTCGCTGAAAAAAAAAATCCAGAAAATTCCCGCAGGAAAGATAAACCCAGTCAACAGTCATTAATCATTTGGCCAATAATTTTTCTCCTCCCCCACGTACAATTTTTTCGTGGTCGATTGGTTTTGTGTACCGAGGAAGTCAATATCGTCCGAGCTAATCAAAGGGTTGTGTGCAGGGGGATACGAATCCCGGTAGAATCGGAAATTCGGGTCAGCCAGTTTAACGTCGAAGACGAGGACAGATAAAAGGGGGTGAGAAGTGGGTGGTGGGTTGGATGGTAAATGTGTGTGATACCTGGACTGGGTAATTCGGCCGGTCAATGTTTTTCCTTCATTTTTTTAATCCTCCTTATCTCTCGATGTCCCACCGTACATTCAGGCGGGGATGGTAAGGGGGTGGCGGGTGGTGGATGGGTGGTTGTGAGGGAGTAAAACGCGGTGAAGGGTGGAGAAATGGTTAGAACTTAGGTGGGAGAGAATGGTGGAGGCTGAAATGGGGAGGAAGTGGGTGGAATTGGATGGCGGGGGATTCCAGGGGGTGGTTTTTCTAGGGGATTTTGTGCGACGGCGCACAATTGTGGCGCTACCGATCAGAAACTAGGCATTTACCAGTCATCCTGACAGTAGGCTTGCCGCAACGCAGCAGTAAACGCGTCTCCTCATCCTCATCCCACATCCAACGGTTACACCATCTGATTACTTTCCTCTTAATCAAATCATCAGATAAAATGTACCCGTGAAAATAGTGCCTGGTGACAACCGGAATAATCAACGGATAAATAATCAAATAATGTAGACAACTCATTACCGAATTAAACAAGTGGATCAAGTGAAATTTTATTTTATCTCCTTATGACAATGGAATTACTGGGGGGTAGTGTACACCGGAGGCTGTACATTGACAATATCATGAACTCATTGATATCTGGATTTTATGAATAACTGATGGACATCTGGGTGATAGTGGAAGTGGTGATTTGAGGGAGAATTCTCTGGGTCAACTATTTATCGCGTGGCAATACGATTGAGTCGTGTAGAGTAGTACGTGGAAATTGAGAGGGATGGAATGAAAGGACGATATAAATTGTTGGAAAATTGGATCGATTGTGACTAGAACGGGGGAAATAAGTTGGGGGGGCGGGGGGGTTAATAGGGGGTGTGTTTGTGTATTTTTTTTTTTTCGTGGAGAAGTGCCGCAAGTGTTCTGACAGAATTATTCCGGTTGGATACGGCAGCACATCGGGTTTAAATCACTCGAAACATCATGGGAAATCGATATATCGAATATATTCGTGACTTGAGACTTTTTATCGAGCTGTTGGAGGTGGTTTAAGACTTTGGGGGGTCGCTGGATTTTTTCTTCGCCGTTTTGGGGGGTGGTTTTTCCCTTCTTCTGGCGTTTTCTTTTTTTTTTTTTCTTTTCTTTTTGATGTGACAGTTGAGAGAGTGCGGCGGGACGTGTCTGACAATATAAAGGGGTGTTTTTAGAATGAAGACTTTACTCGTGATGAGCGTTATTGCGCTCGTTGGAGGTGAACTCGTCGTCAGTGACGTGGATGAACCGAGTGAGTAATTACAAAGTGCCTGGAAATTCAACCGAACACGCGATTATTGGGGAATTGGGATGGGGAAAAGAATCAGGGGGTTGGTGGTGATTTTGATTGTTATGGGGTGGTTTGGGTTGTGGGGTGAATTCATCTATCAATTATTCTGATAAAATATTAATCGAGTTGTCTTCATGCTGCACTACAACCCCTCGGTATCGTGTTGACACTTTCGTTTTTAGGGTTGATCTCGAGATTGATGACTCCCTCGGGATTTTGATAAACTACTAATTGATACTGCTGTTGGAATTACCGTTTTTTTATCGGCAAGCGGTGAACAATCGATTATTCCATACCAATTAAATCTCAAAAAAAAAATTAGCGAATTAATAATGATGATAATAATTGATAATAATTAAAAATAAATGAAGATAATACGAGGATCGTAATAAGAATAATGAATGAACCTACAAGATTGAATAATTGAATTATTAATTTAAAAAAAAAAATTCAGGTCAGCCGTGTCTGACGGCAAACGGTGATTTCTACTTGCGAAATGACGCGATCGTTAATGAATAATAATTAATCAGACGTTGAAGAGGATGAGTGGTGAAAAGTAAATGAATTTTGTCCGTCAGGTCGTGGAAGTCAAAGACCAGGGGATGATGGGAGAAATGTTTTTTTTTTTTTGGGGATGCAGAGTGAGAATTATTTGCCTCTCAATATTTGTTTCGCGGTGAACATGTAGGTAATGTGTGCAATTGCGTGAATCAAGGGATCCTGGCTCTCAACAAATCGATTGCATTATGTAAATTGACATTATAACCCTCTTGCACTAGGTGGGCTTCATGACGGGATAATTGGTGATGCCGGGGTGATTTAACAATATTTTTTTTCTCCTGATTGTTTGTCTTCCACTCTGACAGGATGGCACACAAACATCACATAACCGAATGCACCCCAATAACGCTGATAAATAATTAATTTGCATTATTTATGAATAATTCATTAGCATCCTCTATCGGAATTATAATTGGCAACTGACGTCTCTCTTGACGCGGCGATATCCCCATGAATTTTCTTATTTTCCAGTTGAAAAATATAACAATTCGGAATAAAACTATTGTTCATTGAAATTGAGATAAACATCGAGAGAAATTGTGATAAATTCGATGAATATTCCAAGGAATTTTCCTGCATCGCATTTCACTCTGGAATTATGAAAAGAAATATGAAAGATAATTTTTATTGAATGTCTCTGACAATCTAAATTCCGCCGGATTTATCCCCTTTCTTCATTTTTCCTCCAATTAAAATATCTCAAGCCCCGGGGAAAATCAATAATTCTTCTCCCCGAGTGGTGGCTAATGCGATAATTTTATTTTTCTTCTTCACCTAGAAATAGAAATTATTCAAGACCTCAGAAAGCTCTCGGTTGGATTCCCAGTTGAAGCCAATGGATTTCGCGAAGTGACTCACCAGGGTTTGTATAACTTACGAGGAATCGCAATTAAACCAGAACCCTGGAACTGAGAGAAATGAGAGAGCGGGAGAAAACGAATAAGCGGACACTGGCGTGAGAAATAAAAGATAGAAGTGTTGGCTGAGAGTGGAAAATGAGAGAGAAAAAGCGAATGAAAAAAAAAAAAACTAAATAACTTCAAGTTGGAAATCGGCGTGGGGATGAGTCCCACGTGATTCGCCACGTAATGCCCTCCATTGCAAAAGCCCGAGGAAATTAAAAGGTATGGAGTACGCGTACAGAGGGAGAACTTTGTTAACAAAAAATAAGAAATTGCTGCCAACTCCCGCGAGCTGAGCATGTGTGAATTAAAGACGGTATTTTCTTTAAAATGGAGGAGAGCTAATGCGAATGGAGAAATAAATAGAAAATCGTTATCAGTGATAAGAAAATGAGATCAATTTACTTTTCAGGCTATCTGAAATTTTCTCAACTCCCAACTTTCTCTAAGGTTTACAATATTTTTATTATAATAAGTCATAAACAAATTTGGCTGGAATTTTTAGTTGGAGAATATTACAGAGAAATTACTCTGAGAATAATTGCCCGAAGGAAATAATATTCATTAATAATAGAATAAAATCTGAAATTTTTATTAATGAATATTAATTCATTAATAATAGAATAAAATCTGAAATTTTGTGAATAAAAAAGTGGAAATATCGGGACTCGCGTGAATGAAAAATAAAATAAAAAAGGAAATAAATACCGTTGCTACCACAGGGGTGGGGGAGAGGGGTAATGCGAATGGGGAAATAAACAGAAAATCGTTATCTGTGATAAGAAAATGGGTTAACTGGGGTATAACGAGGAGTGGAGAAAATGAGAGTAAAAATATTATAGCTTGTGAGGAGATTTTTATATATAACGGGAGGGAAAAGGGAGGATCCCGTGGGAGCTGCAGTAATTTATATCATGATTTCGATGGATATCGTTCTCGTGGAGAAGGAAATAATACCTCGTGAGAGGATCTGGGTATTGAAACGTATGGTACAGAACCGATCGGGTGAATTTATTTATTTTTTTTTTATCAAAAATGGAAAATGGTAGGTAAATTTTTTCCAATCAATTCGGGATAGAGGAATCCCCGAGTTTGATATTCATGGGGTCATCAAAATATGTACATGGGGTATGCGCTATCAAAAGGGTAATGGGAATGAAGTGTTATCTGCATGCGGCGATTGGTGTAGTTGTGCTTCAGGACCTCCTGAAGACGGGGTGATTGGATCTATCGATTTTATCATCTAAAACGAAAAATGGACGGCCGAAATTACGCGCATGTTTCGTTACTCCTGAGTGAGAATGGAGGGTCGATAAAAATTAACGCCCATTCAAAAATACCAATGAATCATGATAATATTAAAATAATTTAACTGTCCTAAATGGTAAAAAACAGATTCCCGGAAATAATCAATTCTCGTGATTTTACTGACATAAATTCCTGGGGGTAGATTTTTTTACGATAATAGAAAATTCGCCATCCGGTAATATTAATTTCCGGCACCGAGGTTTTCTTGACAGTTAATTTTGATAGAATATTATTCTCATAATTAAAACATCCGGTGAGGTCAACCTCCCTCCCCCAAGAGTTATTCCCGAATCACTATTATTAAATTCAAATTGAACAATCACTTAAAATTGAATCGCAAGTCATGAAGTTCTGATTTTCCGGGAGTCACTAAAATGTTAACAATACATTTCCGTTTTCCCGAGAATTATCATCCATCCACTTATGAATTCAGTGCACGATTTGAGCGTAAGTCGTATGAAGCAGATTGTAGGGGGAATATAGTGGTGGAAAAAGAGATTGAGGAGTGGAAAAAATGAGGGCTGGATAAAAAAAAAATGAGTACTTGAGAGGAGGCGGAAAGACACGGGAAGTGGGTGGGAGGGGGTGGTAGGTGGTTGTAGGTGGTGGAAAATACGAAGCACAAAATATGATGCCACGTGGGGGGGAGGGAAAAAAAAGGGGAGGGATAATGCTCGAGGTGAACGTTGAACATTTTGAATAAAAAGCATTGCCACGTAGATTGTCGTCTGCGTTTGGAATAAGAGGCTAGAAGGAATATGGAAAACGAACCGGTACACTCTATTCTCCACGAAATAACGGTAAAACGTTTTTACGTCATTATTTCAATGTAGCTTTTACCGAGTTATTTTACTGACAATGTTTTTATACGGAATACCCGAATTAGTGATGAAAACAATTATTAGGGCGACCGGAATTTATTTTATATTAGTCCATCACCGATTTTAATGGGGTCATTAAATAATTTAGATCATTATGTTATATGATTTTGTGATGTAAATTTTATTTGGGGAAATAGGTTTTTTTTTCGGGGTGCGAGGGACAGGTGTTTTATACGCTTTTTTTTTTATTAAATGGTGAAATGAAGGGATGCGAAATATTCAATGAGGGGAGGATTCAATTGAGAGGGCATACGGTGAATGGGAGAGATTTAAAATTGAGAGGATTAATCTGAACTTTCATCCTGTGGATGATAATAAAGTTTGAATGAGTGGAATATTCACTTCGATAATTAAAAATGAAAATACGCGGCGAGAGAATTATTATTCGCATGGAATTATTATATTACTCAATTGTTTTTTTTTTTAGTGGTAATAAGGAATTAAAAGTGGAAAGGCAAAATTAAAGGGGATGTTGAAACAGTGAGCAAGAGAAAGGCGAGAGCATTGAATGATGAAATTATACTAAAAGCTAAAAAAAAAATGGCGAATCCGCGAAATGACTTGTGAACTTGAGTTGACGTGCATTAAAAAATCGTGATCTCTCATCTTAATGCGAAAACTTTCGCTTTCCGTCTGAAGTCGACGATAACATTGTAACGAGAAAGTACAAAGCGTCTGAAGACAAAACCAACGGAGCACCATTTTGTGGTGCACTGTAGGTGGCGAATACTTTCCTCATTTTTTTTTCCTCTCACTCCAAGTGGTTGAACCCCTTGCAGAATGCTCCAAGGGCCATCAAGAGTCCCCACAATTCTATTTCAATTGTCGTCTTTTTTTTTCTCTCTCGTGATTCATTTGGATTTTCAATGCATGGTTGATGGAAATGGTGAGATTGTTCACTCCGGGTTGTATTGTTTCGGTTTTATAAAGAAGAAAATCCAAGTTGAACGAGAGAGAAGGCCCAACAGACACTCGTGCTAGCCAATTCCTTGGTTTTTCTTTGATACCGAGGGATTCATTCGGTCAGGGAGTTACGGATATTCCTCAGAACTTGGGGATTTTCTCTATCTGGAGGGGACCATGTGGCTATTGACTTGGGGAAAAGCCCGGAAATCGCATTTCCAGTTGGGGGATCAGACGATATTTTTATTGTCTTCATTCACCTGACAAGCAATTCGTTATTTTGATCTTAATATTTATTTCAAAATATCCAGAAATTGCCCCGTCTTAATAAAATCCCCAATCATCAAAGATAATTATCGAAGACTCATTTTTCACATAATAATCTCTACTGAAAAATTAATATTAA